ATCATTCCTAAACCATACCATGCATTATAATGTCTAGGATTGACTCTGATAGCATTTCGAAAACAAGCTAATGCTTTGTCTAATTCTTCAGTTAACACAAACTCGTGCCCTAATAGAGTATAGGCATAAGCATAATTTGGATCAACCTGGATAGCTCTCTGGAAGAATTTAATTGCAATATCATGTTCCCACTGCAAACTGAAACAGTTCCCTGCAGCACACCAGGCCTCTGGTGAATTTTTATCCATATCTGTTAAGTCTTTTGAAAGAACTGAAAGAGCAACATCCTTTTGAAGATGCCAAAGTGTTGTAGAGTAGATCTCCATGCCTTCGACTCTGTAATTTTCAATTCTCCTAACTTCTGAGAATATTCTTTCAGCTTGCATGTACTCTGAAAGTTCGAAATAGGCCCTTCCAATTTGGCACAGCACCCACCAACCAGTATTGTAGTGGTGAGAAGGTAGGTGGCTCAAGATATTAATAGCTTCTTTGCAGTTGTATGAACACAAAGCTAAATAACCTTTCCCCATTTCACGAAGAAGGCTCATCAAACCTGCTGCTGCTTTCTGTAGATTAAATGCCTGGATCTGAGGTGTAATTGTAGAGATTTTTCCTTCTGAAATGATTGAAGAATCTAATTTTGTGATTTCCAGGCTATCATTTATGTTAGGTTGAGTTATTCCTCCTTTATTAGTTTTACTTTTTGTTTTTCTATTTGGGATTTTAGGTGGAAACTTCATTTTTAATTTTTTGCTATTCTCTTTGGTTGTAGAGCTGTCACTAGTAAAAAGTTGTGAACTTCTTCGAGGCAGTGCATTTGGGGGAGATGTGATAGTGGGGCTCAATACCTGAGGTGTTGTACTTGTTTGTGGGCCAGAACTCTGAGTCTGTGCAACAAGAATTGGAGTTACCTCTCGACTGTTTCCACTCTGTGAGAAGACAGACTTTGTTCCAGTTTGGCCGATTCTGGCAACAGACTTTTTTGAAGGGGCTCCGGTGGGTGGCACGTCAATTACAGAAGATGTATTAGTGTAGTTTTGTAAATAGGATCCATCTCCAGGACTTGGGGTTTCTAATGGCAAAATCCCCAAACTTGGGGTTAACGGGCTAAGAGCAGCTGGTCCTCCTAATAAACTTCGACCAGTTTTTGGTTTATTTTGAACCTGTTTAGATAATATGGAAGTTCCTGTTCCAAGAGGGACAGTATCTGGTGAAATTACAGCCGAATCAATATAAGACACTGAAGAATCTGTATTCAATGAGTACTTTGAATTGGAAGATTCTAAATTCAGTCTGTTTAATTCAATTGTGTCCTGGGGTGTTTCTGTAAGAACTGTCTCAGGCTGTCTGTGAGATAAACTATGATTAGATACTAGTGTTGTGCAAGAGTTGGGCAGACAGCTGCTAAAGTTCTGTAAAGATGTTAATTTAAATGTTTGGTCAGGATCTGGCTTTTCACCTATTTCACATAATGATTCAAAGGGGGACCAGAGGAAAGGATTTAAACTAAGGCTCTTTTGATAACATTCTGATCCTTTGGCAAGCCGATCTGTCTTGCAATATACATGTCCCAACAATGAAAGAGTAAAGCAAGCTGAATCACCAAACTCAGTAACAATATCATCATGGCTTTTCTGCTTATTAAACACTCCACCAGATAAGATCTGTTCCCTTTCTGCAAGCTTGCTGAGATAAACACAACATTTTGCAAGCAGGTATTTACATTGCGCTGTAGTACAACTGTGTCCTTTCAAAAGCCTATATGCTTTATATGCTTTTCCTGAGCGATAATAACAGGTTGCCAGTAAAAACAAGCCTTCTTCTGAGTGTACTTCTGCATACAGTCGCTCTGCTAGGAAAACTGCATCTCTGTAAGCATAGTGGTTTAGTGCTTGCCATATAGCAGCCTGGACGGGTTCCTGCAGCACCGTCATCCTGGAGGTTCAGGCCCACTTTCTGCAGTGCCTCAGGCCCCCCCCCCCGTAGCGACTCCGGCCCGGCCAGCCCCGGCTCATTTAAACTCACCAGCGACCGTTACCGGGGGATGGGGGAGGCCGAGCGAGAGCCGAGTACCTCCGAGCGGGACACGGAAAAACCCGAAGTCTGCACGTGGTTTTGACAGGAGTACACAAAACTCATTCTAAGAGCCAGGAGACTAGAAAGACAACCCAGGCAGGAAGTGGTGCTGGGCTGAGCTGAACAGTGCAAGCAGAACCAGAGAAGGGAGCATGAGTATGACTTCCCAATAAACTGATAACCTGCTGGAACTTACTAACTTCGCAAAGCTGTCCTGAACTCATGTGCTGTATGCAGACATGGCTGAGTCTCACAACCACTTCAGAGAACGGTTTGATTAATTTACCGGCTTCTGTTCCATAGTCAAGTCCTATCATTTCTTTCCTGCATCTGCTCTCTCTCTGTTCCCCGTCTCCTTCTTTGCTCCCTCCCTTGACTAAAACATAGGGCTGGCTAAGCCCAACTCCTTGTCTGTTCTGCACGACGGAATGAACCCGGAGGAGGTCCAGGTGTGTCCCACTGAATTCTGGTGGGTTCCCACGGCCACCGGTCAGTCATGCCAGACCACCCTGGTCCATCACTCTCCCGTGCTCTTCTAGACTTCAGACTTCCTCTTCCCTCTCCAGACTCCAGGACTGCTTTGGTCTGGGCTCATGATCCTGGCTCCCATTTTAGGACAAAAAGGAAGCAACCAGAAGAGGACAGCTAGACATCTGTGCTCGAAGGCCCTGAAACACCCCTCTCCTGGGCACCAAGGGCAGAGATCCTGACTGTGGACCCAGGAGAGATCCTCACCTGGTCCCAGTGCTTCTCCACGCTGGAGCGGGGCTGGCTGTCAGCCCTGTGCTCAGAACACAGCTGACTACAGCGATGAGATCCACTGGGTTGGGTCCACCATTCCCCTGGAGTCTGAGTTTGGAATAATGCTGGGATTCAGGCAGCCATTAGGAGATGGCCTCTGAGCACCATGAGAGAGATGTGTCCACATGCTCACGTGGAACATCACAGACCATGGCCAAGGCCACCTGCAGCAGCCAGCACGGCCAAGAAAGAGAAAGGAGCTGCTGAGGAAGTGGCCTTCTTCCTTGGTGGAAAGACTGTGCCCCAGCCCGGGTCCTAATGGGCAAGCTTCTCCCCAAGGAATGTGTGGAAGACAGCTGCCATGAGAGCAACCAGCAAAGGAGGAGCTGGGAGGACGGCAGGGTGGGAAGGCGCCGAAGAGCAGCTCATGGACGGGCCCCGTGCGCCCCGCTGGAAGGATGGAGCCAGAAGTCCCCTGGAGTGGAGAAACAGCGTGGTTCTTTCAGCTTCATCCATTCAACATGGGAACTCTTCCCCCAACCACCTCCCCACGCGGCGTGCGTCCCACATGAATTTGGAAAGATTTATCTCCCAGACAACTGAATCTCTTATGTTAGAATGTCTCTTCCTGCACCTGTTAATCATTTAGGAGGAGATGGGCAGTGTCAACCAAGGAGGCTATGTAGGTAGTGAGTAAATGCCAACTCTCCATTTACCGTTTTATGTTATGTATTTTTAAAAATTATTGTAGTTTACTTCATTTACAATGCTGTGTTAGTTGCAGGGGTACAGCCAAGTGAAGCAGTCGTTGTTGTTGTTCAGTCGCCAAGTCACGTCTGACTCTTCACAACCCCATGGACTGCAGCACGCCAGGCTTCTCTGTCCATCACTATCTCCCTGAGCTTGCCCAAACTCATGTCCATTGAGTCAGCGATGCCATCCAGCCATCTCATCCTCTGTCACCCTCTTCTCTTGCCCTCAATTTTGCTCAGCAACAGGGTCTTTTCCAGTGAGTCAGCTCTTTGCATCAGGTGGCCAAAGAACTGGAGTTTCAGCTTCAGCATCAGTCCTTCCAAAGAACATTCAGCACTGATTTCCTTTAGGATTGACTGGTTTGATCTCCTTGCTTTCCAGGGGACTCTCAAGAGTCTTCTCCAATACCACAGTTCAAAAGCATCAATGCATTGGTACTCAGCCTTCTTTATGGTCCAACTCTCACAGACTACTGTGACTCTCCAGACTACTGGAAAGACCATAGCTTTGATTAGACAGACCTTTGTTAGCAAAGTGATGTCTCTCCTTTTTAAAACACTGTCTAGGTTTGACATACCTATTCTTCCAAGGAGCAAGCATCTTTTAATTTCATGGCTGCAGTCATCATCTGTATTGATTTTGGAGCCAAGAAAATGAAATCTGACACTCTTTCCACATTTTCCCCATCTATTTGCCATGAAGTGATGGGACCGGATGCCACAATCTTAGTTTTTTGAATGTTGAGTTTTAAACCAGTTATACATAGACACACATCCACTCTTTTTAAGATTATTTTCCCGTATAGGTTATTACAGAGTATTGAGTACACTTCTCTGTGCTATACAGCTGGTTGTTATTAGTCATCTATTTTATATATATAGCATGTGAATGTCAATCCTAGTTTATCCTCCCCACCCCTTACTACCTGGTAACCATAAATCTATATCTGTAACTCTTATTTCTGTTTTGTAGACAAGTTTCCATTAACTATTTTTGGGGTTTTTTTTTTTTTTTGCCACACTCTTCAGCACGCAGAATCTTAGTTCCTCAAGCAGGGATCAAACCCATGCCACCTGCATTGAGAGTGGGGAGTCTTAACCACAGGACTGCCAGCAAAGTCCCCCATTAGCTATTTTAAAACACTAAAAATAGCCGCATTTCTCTGAGCATCACTGGCTAGGAAATTGCTCTGGTCTTTCTCTTTGGACTTTCTCTGTTGAGAGCAATCTTCTAGCTGTGCTGTCTTTCTCAGCAATCACATCTGAACCGTCACACAAGCTCCTTGAGGAAACTACGGTTTCTCTTCTTCTTCAGATACACCTTCCAGAATGTTCTGACCTACGGAACAACAGGATGTCAGTACTTTCAGTACCTGCCTAAAAGTAGCATTTGTAGCCCAATTATAACTCAGGACGCACCTGTTAAAGAGTTCAAATGGTGGCATTTCGGTTTCCAAATTTAGAGAATGTTCTCTGGGGTCCTCTTCCCAAAGTGGCAACACATTGGGGGTTCATTTCACTCTCGGCAGGTGGGAAAAAAAAAGCTGTAGATGCCCCCACCCTGGCAGCAGGGATTCCTCCCACTGGCCTTCTCCCCACCACCCCTCGCCCGACATGAGGACAGCTTCCCCGCACCTCCAGGCTGCAGTGGGGACTCGGGTACAGGGCTGGGAAGGCGGCAGCTTTATGGCAAGAGGGCATTGCAGCAGCTCTCTTTGTTGGTGGTGGTAACACTGACACCTGTGCCTGCTGTTTGTTTGGGAAGAGGCTGTGAGGGTGAGAATTGTTTCTCAAAGAAGCCATCATCTGAGGGAAAACAAATATGGCTTTCGTTCATTCATTAAACAAACGTGCATTAAGTGCCTGCACCAGACGTTGTGTTCACACCGATGGAGACTGGAGGAGAAAGCTGACGCTACACAAACCCACAGTCACTGTTCTGCTCTAGGGTCCGGAGAGAGAGGATAGATGTTAGGAGAGCATCGTGGGTGTGGGGGCTAGCCCCTGCTGGGGATCAGGAGAGTCTCCCTGGAGAGAATCGGGTTCACTTCCTTGTTAAAAATATGCAGTCTCCCCACTTTTAGACTTCGTTGAGCTGGAGGGCAGGCCACCCAGAGTTGGGAATCTATGTGGGGCACTCCTGACTGCTACCCCCTGGGGCGACGTGTGCGTTCCAAGTGGGACCTGGGAGCTGAGAGGAGGAAGCTGGCAGAGCCGGCTGGGGATGCTGAGAGCTCTAGGCCAGTGGTAACGGGGCCCACGTGGGGAAGGCAGGGCTGTGACTGGCCCAGAGGAGGGGAGCGGCAATGCAGCTGGAGGGAGCAGCTTGACATCTGCTCGGGAAGAGCGAGTTATCAGTATCCAGTCTTAGTGGAGCCTGGGGGGAGACGGGGAGGAGATGGGCTCTGGGTTCCAGGGAGAGAGTGGTGGGTGTGCCGGAGAAAGTCATCCTTCCTGGGGCTGACTGATGGGGAGGGCCAGCAACCACGTGAGCACAAAAATGCACAACAGAATAACATAAAATTGCAGAAAGGGCCACGTGGAAACTCAGCTGTGTGGCAACTGAAAGTGCATGGAAGCAGAGGGCAGGGCTCTGGAGGGCTTCTCGGGGGCAGGGTCCCCCCGGAGGTGCAATGACCTGCGGGCGCCACGAGGGCAGTCCCAGGAAAAGAGGAACGAGGCAGCCAGCTGGCTGTAGGATGCGGGCCGGAAATGCGGAGGGATCGGGATTAGGGCAAATCCCTGGGCGGCAGAGGATGGACCAGAAGGAGGTGGTATCTTTTCTGAAGGCTCTTGAGCACTGGAGCAAAGAGCTGGGTTTTGTTTTGTTTTTTTCCTAAGAGAAGTGGAGGCCACTGAAGGGAAGGAGTGAAAGAGTGTTATGACTCATTTGTAGCCGCTGGATGGAGAGACTGAAGGGACTCTGGGACCTGACGGTCGGGAGAATCTCCTAGGTGAGATTCGACTGGAGCTGTTTCAGAGATGAAATGAGGAGCCTGCTGATGTGCCCTGGGGCTGCAGTGGGGTGAGACCAGCCGCGGGAAAAGGGCATCGAAGCGAGCAAGCGGGGTTTCCGGTTTGAGCCAAGCACAAGGAAGGACCATTTTCCGAGGTGGAGAAACAGAAGGCCAAGCAAATTGCAGGGAATCTCGTGTGTGAGGCCGGGCTCTGCCTGTGAGATAGGCAGATGCCGAGATCAAATAGGCAGCGAGCGCGCGAGAAAGGTCTTGGCTGGTCAACAGGAGCGTCGGCGTCATCAGCACATAGTGTGTCCACCAGGGCCGTGCGTTAGCTCAGAGAGGGCAAGAGGAGCCGTTTGGAGGCCGAGAAGCTTCGATCTCAGGGCCGAGCGGAGGGCACTGAGGAGGGTGCGTGGGTGGGAGGTGTCGCGGATGAGCTACTGATCAAGATGTGGCCAGTTTTGTTCGTCCCGAAGCTGCCAGGAAGCACAGTAAGATAGCGTAGTGTTCCTCCGATTTGCCGGTGTGATATCGTCGGTGACTTTGGTGTCCGCTGTATGTGAGAGCCAGAGGGGCACGAAGAATGAACAGACAGGGACCTGTGGATAGTTCTGGAAGGATTTTGCTATGAAGGAAGAACTAAGGAATTGGGGTAGCAGCCGGAGGCTCCTGCGGTCAAGGGATGCTTTCTGAAGTTAGGAAATACTGAAGTGTGTTTGTCCGTGGGTGGGAATGATCCAGCGGACGGGAAGCGGTTGGGAATTCGTGCAGAAGAGAAAGCGGTTGCAGTAGGAACCAGGCCCGGAGCAGGCCTGCGGTGGGGGCCGGGGCAGTGGGCTTATGGGTTTCCCGGGCTACTCAAATAAACCTCCCCGAACCTGGCATCTTGAAAACAACACACGCGTCTCCTTTTACAGCCTGGAGGTCAAATTGCCAGTATGGCCAAAGGTCCCTCTGGAGGCTCCAGGGAACCATCTGTCTCTTACCCTTTCGGGCTTCCAGAGCTGCTTCTAGAGCTGTTTGCTTTGTTCGTTGTCGCTCCCTCTGTCTTCAAAGCCGCGGGTGGGCCGGGGTGTTGAACATCTTCATATCTCTCTCTGCTCTGGTCACACCATCTGCTGTGCTCACATTTCCCCTGCTCCTCTTCTGTGAGGACGTCTAGGGTCAATCGAGACAGTCCAGATAACCTCCTCCCGCCCCCCGAAGATTCTTAGTATAATCACACCCGCAGAGTCTCTTGTTCAGTAAGGTAGCCCTTAGCTGGCGTGGACGGAGTGCTGTGGTGGACCCGCCTTGGCTTGGAGTGGGGAGACCTCCTTACTTCGTGTAACTGGAGGGAAAGGGACTCATGTGGGGCTTTGTAGATTTGGTGGCAGAAAGATGAGGGAGTCTCTGCTTTTGGCTTCAACTTTCTGCAAGAAGTACTGACAGCCGAGAGGGATGGTAAATGCAGCAGGGCCGGGAGGGGAGGGGTCGAGGTCTGGAAGCAGCGCACACAGTGGGGAACTCAACCGCATCTCAGCCTGGCTGGGATCACTGCGAGAGGGCCCGGCCAGGTGGTAAGTATAGGATGCGAATCCACGGGATCTAGCCAGGAAGTGAGGGGAACATCATAGCCGGGCGGCTTGTGAGGAGACTGTGAGCAGAACAGGGTGTTGAGGGTCCGGGGTGAACCCTCAGGAGTGTTGAGGAGGGGACACTGAGCCAGCCAACTGTAAATACCGGAAGGGCGGGCAGAGTGGGATGCCCTTAATGCAGATTTTGGAGACAGTGTGATGTCCAGTTATGACAAGTTCTGGGGTTTCCCTTGGGGAGTGAGTCCCTGGGGGACAGAGAGACGGGTCATCAATCTGGATGCTGAAGGTCCTGGGAATGAAAACAGGGAAGACGTGGCCAGGAGCCAACATCTTCAGTGAACAGGGAAGGAGGAGCGGCCCGGAAGAAGACAGGTGCTAGAAGTGCCTGGGTGACCGGAACCGGAAGAGCAGTGGGGGCCATGCTCACAGCTTCCGCCGAAAGGGACCTGGTGGTTTGCTGGAGGAAGGAGGAGAAGTAGCATGGACGGGACAATGCGAGCGAGGAGGCTCGGGTTTTCTTCCCGACTCGGAGGTAGGTAGCCAAGGTGTGAAAGACGAGTAGCTAACACTTGAGAGGGCTCCCGTGTTTCCATTTAGGTAAGTCAAGTAGCGAGGCTCTAAGAATGTGTGCTGATGCTTTGGTGGAAAGTTTGGGAGGCCGGAGGTTCGAGGCACAGGAAAGTGGGAGCCTAGCAAATACCGGGCTTTTGGAGAGGATCCCTGTGCTTCTAGTGCTGAGTGAGTTTCACAGGACACAGAACTTTTGGAACCAAGGGCCTGGAGCGGTAAAGTAAGGACTGAGTTTTACCCTGTAGGTGGGGGTTGGGGGAGGGTGTTCACAGCAGACCATCATGGTCAAAGGCAGGCTTTGGGAAAGTTAACTTTCTAGCCTGATGAGTGAAAGAGGCCCTTAGAAAGCCACTGCACGGGCCAGGAGTAAGGTCTGACCAAGGTGTGAACACTGCGAATGGGGGAAAGAAACTGGATTTGTCAAGAAATGCGGTGGGTTTGAATTACAGGAGATTAGGAAGAGGGAGTGATGGGGAGAAGGTTCCCAGGTGTTGGGCGTTAACTGCTTGGTTTGGAGGGGAAATTGATGGCTTGGTATTTGGCAGACCGCGGTCTTAGGCTGAGCAGTGGCCAGGGCAGTGTTAATGATAGGTGAGTCATGGGGCGCTCCCCTTGCCGTGTCTCACTGCCTGGGGTTCCCCAGACTGCGGACCCCAGGAGGCAACCGGTGAGTCCCCTGATTCAGCTTCAGATCCACAGGGCGAGGCCTAACCCTCAATTACGGTGTGCTGTTGGGCATGTGCGCAGATGTGAACTGAGGCGCCCGATTCACACGCTTTGCACCTGAGTTCGCCTCGCAGCCCGCGGGGCCAGAGCAGGCGCGTCCAGATGCACCTGGGGGGCGCCGGTGGAGGAGGACCTTGCCGGGGTTTGTGTCTGAGAAGACGCTGTGAGTGGCTCTTCTCTCATCCCGAGGTAGGGCGGGGCAGGGCGCGTCCCCAAGCTTTCGCTTGGAAAGCGGGTTTTCATCACACCCCTGGGCTCGGACCCAGAATCACAGTTGACGTCCGAGAATTTGATTCATTCAGGTGTAAACCGCCCACTTCTGCTCAGCTTCCTCAGTTCTGCTGACAGCAGCTCGCTCTTTTTTCTCGCCTTTGTGTAGTTGAGGTGAACCGAGGCCAACACCGCCCTCGGTGGCCGCCGAGCCCCTCTGACCCTCCAGTCCTCGGCGCAGCCCCACGCCAGAGCGGGCCCAGCGGGGCTTGGAGAGGCGCGGGGGCCCCGCGAGACTGGCCCAAGCCGTTCCTCCAGCCCTGAGGTGCGGGAGGTCGGCGCGGGAGGCTGTTGGGGGCCCGGCCCACCCGTCCCCCGGATCCCAGCGAGTATCACCGGGCGCGCGCGGGCCGGTCTGGGCTGGGGAGGCGGGCGCGCGCCGGAGGGCGGGGGTTCGGGGCGGGGCCTCGGGGGCGGGGCGGGCGGCGTGGAGGGGACCGGCGGCCGGGGCGAGAGCGCGCCCAGCCCGCCGAGATGCCCGCGCGCGCCGGACACCTCCTCCCGCCTCGGCCTCGGGCCCTGGTCCCGGCCCTGCCGCCGCCGCCGCCGCCGCTGCTGCTGCTGCTGCTGCTGCTGCTGGGCGCCGGCGGCGGGCGGGGGGGCGCCCGGGCCCGGGGGCCGGGTGTGGCGGCGGACGAGGCCCCCGCGGCCGGCGGCGGGGACGGGCAGGACCCGCACGCCAAGCACCTGTACACGGCCGACATGTTCGCGCACGGCATCCAGAGCGCCGCGCACTTCGTCATGTTCTTCGCGCCCTGGTAACTGGCCGCGCCGCCAGCCCGGGGCTCCGCGGGCGCTGGTCGGGCCGGGGCCGGCGCGGGGGGCGCGGGCCCGCGGCCTGGGGCGCCCGGCGAGGGGCTGGGGGCGCAGGGGGCGGCGCGCGCCGGGCGCTCGCCGTTGACGTGGCGCAGGGGCAGGGACCGGGCGAGAGGGGGCGGTCCCCGAGGGCCGAACCGGAAAAGGCCGGAGCTCCGGCACCGGGGGGTCGGGGCAGGTTTCGTCGTCCATTGAGGCCGCTGGGAGCCCGGAACCCGCCCGCACCACGTCCCGCAGCCCCAAACTAATGCTCTGGTCGGAGGCAGCGGCCTGTGGCTCGGCCGGTATCCGGAAGCCATGTGCGGCCGCTCGGACACCCGGGGTCCGGCGTGTACACGTGGACTTCCTGTCCCGTGCGCTCGCCGCAGGGCGGACGGGGTTTAATTGAAACGCAGGGACTGCGAGGCTCGGCTTTTGCGAAGTGGGAGGCGGGTGGTCCGGGCATTAGAGGGTTCCTTCTCTTCCCCCGGGAATCGGGGTGCCGTGCGGAGCCTGGGGGCCCCTCCGCAGCTCCGGGGCCGTGGCGAGCTGTGCTCCGGATGGCAGGACCCTCTGGCCCCCGACCCAAGGCTGTTCTGGGTCGTGCACTCTCCTCCGCTTTCTTGGGGCCTGGCCATCTGGGAAGTGTGAGGTGGGAAAAGGCACAGCGTTGAACAGACAGCACCCCCCCCCCACCCGCCGTGGTTCCTGGATGGGGGCTTTGCTGTGAGCCTCGGTGCCGACCCCAGAGACCCTTGCCCTGCAAGGGCAAAAGAGAGACTCCCCCGGTCCTTGACAGGAGCAGAGGGACCGAGTGCCTTCTCCTAGGGTCTAGATGCCCGCTGAGGGGGGTTCTCTGGGCGGCGCAGCCAGCCGGTCTAGGGCCCAGGCCTTTGCAGGCTTCACTGCAGAATTTGGCATTCTTGCCCAGAGCCAGGAGCCTCCTTGAGATGTGGGTAAGGGGTGGAAAAAAGATTAGGAAGAAGATTCCCAAGAAAAGCTGCCTCTTCAGAAAATGTGCCTGCAGAAGTTGGAGGAAACTTTTCCCCCTCATATTCAGGTTATTACTGCATTTCAGTTCCTTTGGAGTTACATCGACACTTTTGGTCTGGCTCAGACCTGTCACTAACTGTATTTATGGGATACCTTGTGTTTCAAGAACCAAAGGAGCTGAATTTTTAGAACCCAGTGATATAGAAATGTAAAGTAATGGCTCTGGATAGTTTCTTTGTGGAGGGTGTTCTCAGAGTAGCTGTTGTAGTTAAACACACTACTTAACTGAAGTCTGCTTCTGTGGAATAAGTCTGCCCATGGATTATTTTTTTCCTTTATTTTTTAAAAGAAAGACTGACATGTAGACATCGTAGTGCTAATGGGGTTTTGGATTTGGAGTCTCTGTGATGCTCACCATCTAGCCCTGGCCTGAGTGAGGGAGAGGACTACTACATTCCTGTTTCATTGTGTGTGCCTTACAGAGTTTTAGGTGGATGCCCCCAGAAAAAGTAACTTTGAAAGTTAGCAGACTTGAAGAGCAGATCGGAGTTCAGCTCAGATACACTGGGCTGCCCCTGGTCTCTCTCCATTTCAGTCTCTGGAATGCTGAGTGCCCACGTGGGATTCGGGGGCAGGAGCAGTGATAGCATTGATCCGCGTGTGTGTGCTCTGAACCCAGCAGAGGCAGGGCTGTCGTATGAGGTAAAGGTGTGCCAGCGCCAGGTAATAGTTTCTGTATGGCCACTTTTCGGGTCACATTGAATCTGGTGACAGTGAGGTCAAGGTTGGGGCCGCCGCCTCGAAAGGACCAGGTGGCTTTGCTCTGTTACTGACCACAAACTGCCTCAATGCAGGTGCAGTCTCAGAGTTTTTGTGCTGTCGCCCCAAGGGTCCAAAACCAGGGTGCTGACTGTGAGGCACCCATGGAACCATCACTAGGAAATTGCTAAGCACTTGGTACGTGTCTCGGGCACCCAGTTGTAGAAAGGGAGATGCTTGTCTTGGCACTTGTACCACATCGACTTAAATCTGACCGTGGTTTTCCCTCACAGATATCTTCAAGAAAAGAGGGATTCGTATTGTATTTGTATCTCTTATAAAGCAGGATTTTCCTTCTCTGGCCTAGAAGGTGTTGCTTAGGGAAAACAGGTTTGCTTAAAGCAAGGTCTTCTAGTGCTGCCTTTAGATGCTTCCTGGTGAGGTCATCTGTCAGAAAAAAAAAAGAGGCAAGGGGATTTAACACTGATTTTATGGAGAAATTGCTTTGAGGATGAACTCAGAAGTGCTGGGTGTTCTGATAGCACTCTTAAAAAGCACTGCAGCAAGGAGTTCCATGGTAGAGATCATGAATACACACGCACCAGGAGAAGGGGGAACAGACCATGTGCTCTAATGCTGTGAAAGTGCGCCTGGAGTCTGAGATCCAGTTTTCAGTGTGGTGATATAGTATTTAAGGCCCTGTGAACAGCTGACAGTTAAAAGACGGTGATCAGACATATGACTCAAAAAGATTTAGTGATGGGGAAGAAACTGAGGCTGTCAAGAAATGGGACAAGTAGAAGCAGTCATTTTAAGTCAGCATATCATTTTAAATGATAGATGATTTTAAAATACTTATGTCATTAAATTCTTACAGTGAATATTGTAAGTGCCCATTTGAGCGTGTCACATTTAGAAGTTTTGAGTGGCCACAAGTTTTTTTTTTTTTTAAATAAGCTTCTCACTGGCGAGAATGCAGAACTGATTTCATTCTGAGGCTGGTTTTTGTTTGGAGAGAGGGGGTTACATGGTGGAGGAGACCTGACCCTAAAGGGACCGTGGCAGCGAGAAGGCCAGAGCTGCTGCCGAGGAGGAGTGAGGGGCTCTCCCGACCAGGGAGAGAAGAAGTGGACGCCGGCCAGCTTGGGAGTCCGGGCTGAGTTCCTGGAGGAAGTGACACCCAAGCCGGACATCTAGTGGTCGGCCGGTGGGCCTAGGAAGGGTCGGAGGAAGGCATGCTCACTCCCAGGGCCCAGCCACGATAGGGCGCTTGCAGGAACCTGGAAGTGTGTCCAGCAGGGCTAAGCAGTGGGGGCGGCCCAGGAAGCAAGGCAGGTGGGTAGAGGTCAGCTGGGAGGTCAGCAGGGGCCAAATCGCGAGGCATCGGGCGCCGCGCCTCGCTGAGAACGTTGCCGGGACTATCAGGAGCTTCCGCAGCCACGGTGGGCTGGTCGGCTGCGTCTCTGCCGCGGTGTGAACAAGGCTGGGATCGGAGCGCCCCGCTACCCTAGGAGATGGCTGGCTGAGGAGCTGGACTGGCCCCTCCGCCTCGCGCTCAGCATACTTCCTACCATCCCCTTGTTACAGGTGTGGACACTGCCAGCGGCTACAGCCAACCTGGAACGACCTGGGAGACAAGTACAACAGCATGGAGGACGCCAAGGTGTACGTGGCCAAGGTCGACTGCACCGCAGACTCGGACCTGTGCTCCGCCCAGGGCGTGCGCGGCTACCCCACGTGAGTGACGGGCGTGCGCGGGGGCCCCACGTGAGTGGCGGGCGCATGCACGGCCACCCCCATGTGAGTGATGGGCATGCACCCTGCGCCCTCCAGGTCTTTGTTGGTTTTCCGCCAACCATCTCGGGCCAGACGAAGTCCAAGTTACATTTTTGGCAACTTCTTTGTAGTTCTGAGAAGTGAGGCGATGCCAACTTGGAGCCGCAGTCCCTCTTGTTAGGCAGGGTTATATGTATGCTGTGTATTAGATGCTTTTTTGGACTTTGGAAAAAGCCTTCAATTAGCTGAGTTTTCCTTTTTATATAATTAAGAACGAGTCTGCCAGACAAAAATGGTGTTGTTCTCCATGAGGTCTTGTCACATCTGATTGTCCCATGTACATTTACACAGTGAATACCGACTGTCAGGAATTTTTGGTCACTCTGTTAATTCTTTTTTGTTTTGTAAGATTTGTTTGTTTTTGACTACGCTGGGTCTTTGTGGCTGTGCACAGGCTTTTCTCTAGTTGCGGTGAGCAGGGGCTGCTCTGCTTGTGGGCCCAGGCCTGTCACTGCGGTGCTTTTTGCAGAGCACAGGCGCTCCACGTCCGGGCTTCAGTAGCTGCAGCTATAGAGTCCAAGCTCAGTAGTTCTGGCACACTGGCTTATTTGCGCCAAGGCATGTGGGATCCTGCTGGACCAGGGATCGAACTGGTGTCTCTTGCATATTGCAAGGCAGAGTCTTTACCCCCAGACCATCAGGGAAGCCCTGTCACGCTGTTAATTCTTTAGTCTCTTTTCTAGAGTTATTCCGCACGTGACCAGCACAAGGGCCGTTTTTGTTGGAAAGAAAGTGCAGTCATTCTGACAAGTGAGACTCTATTTCCTTGGTAGTTAAAATAGTTTTTAAGAACAGAAGTTGAAACTGGCTAAATGAACAAAAGAGGGCTTGATGAAGCTGGCTTAGTCTGCAGGCTGTGGGAGCTCTGAGGGTCAGGTGGCCTGTTTCTCTGCACCCCAATCAAGGTGACTCCACTTGCCAGCTCTGCATTGCTCTGTTGACGTAGTGGGCTTAGGCCCGTCGCTGATTAGCCCACCTTGGATGGAGTATTCATTCCAGAAACAGACCTCGTGGCTAGAGAGGCGGGATCTTGTTGGAAGACAGTAGCCCCTTCCGGACTCCGCATTTGATGTTGGGGTGAAGGGCACTTCTTCAAAAAGGGGAAGGTGCCATTTCCAGAAGGCTGGGGGAGGGGTCGGGCACTGCAGGTCCCAACATGTCCGTTCAAACTGATGAATGAAGTCAATCCGTACGAGACCTGAGCTGATCTTCAAACCTGAGAGGCTGCGTGGAAAGTGGCTGGCACTCTGAGCTGGAACCCGGACGCCGCGGTTTGGGCCCTGGCTTCGCCGTTCACATATCCTGCAGCTGTGGCTGCGGTCCTCAGCCTCTGAGCGTGAAGCAGGATGCTGGCACCCCCACCCCCCACACTGGTGTGTGCAGACACCAGTCCAAACGTGCCCAATGCATGTTAAGGTTTCCCCCAACATTCGGAGATGTGGCATTTCCATAAAGGGCTCTGGGACTCTCATCTTCGGTGATTGCCTGCTGATCTGGGCACGGTATCTCAAGTCTGTGTCAGGTCGGAGCACTAGAGGCAGAATGTCCTGCCATGCGTACCTGCCTGTTGGTATCATTGTCCTATGCTTCACTGCGTTGCTTTCAGATGGATGAAGAGCGTCCCGGAGAAGCAGCCAGTGTGTTGTGGGGCCAGTTCCCTGTAGCGGGCTTGTGACTTGGAGGGACAGGAGCTACAGGTGGTTGGTGTCCACTCTTGAACCGCTGGCTGTGTGCGGCCGTGTGAACCAGTGACAGGGCTGAGCAGGCCTGGGTGGGGTGTCAGAGAGGGAGCGGAGGGGCCCGCCCAGACCTGCTCGTCTCAGCTCTCTGGCTGCACCGTCAGTGGCTCCACAGACACTGTTCACAGATAGCAAGAGATCCACGTTGGAGCAGGCATCTTGATTTGGTTTTTAGAAGATCTGGTCCCTCCAGGAAAACCAGACCCTTCTTTAGAGTTGTTAAAGAGAATTACCAGCTCCCACTGCATGGTTTGGGAAGGAGCCCTGTGACCTTCACAACCAACACCAGATTCTCTTCACAGATTGCAGGAGGTGGGGGCGTGCTGCATAAAATGTAGGGCCTTAGGGCCTTCACAGGTTGACCTGTGTGGGCTTCTAGAGGCATTTCGAGGCCTGGGTCAGATGATGAGGTAAATGCTGGGCGTTGGGGGCAGGGGTCAGCACATTAGTGTTTGTGTCATTCCTTCCTGGCACCTTTAGCTGAGTAAAGGATTGGAGAGGGAGTTTGAGTTCCCAGGTCCCTAGAGAAGGCTGCCTGTGCTCGGGAAGCTGTTTTGGGATCTGTTGAGCCGTTAAAGCATCTTTATCATCTGGGAAGATGTCAGCAGGGGCAGAGCTGAAGGGGGTCTTTAGGGCTGCCATGCAGAGTGCCCCGAAGGGAACAGAGAGGCACTCTCACGGTCCTGGGGGCCAGAAGCTGAAAATCAGGGCTCTGAAACCCCTCGGGGATCCTCCTCTGCTGCTTCCTGGCTCTGGCAATCTTTGATGTCCTTGACTTGTAGAAGCGTCACCCCAGTCCTACTCCTCAACACAGCCTTCTGTGTGCCGTCTCTGTCTCAATTTCCCTTTATATGTAGTCACCAGTCATAGTGGCTCAGAAAGAAAGTGAAATTTGTTTAGTCGTGTTTGACTCCTGGCGGCCTCGTGGACTATACAGTCCATGGAATTCTCCAGGCCAGAATACTGGAGTGGGTAGCCTTTCCCTTCACCAGGGGATCTTCCCAACCCAGGGGTCAAACCCAGGTCTCCTGCATTGCAGGTGGATTCTTTACCAGCTGAGCCACAAGGGAAGCCCAGGAATACTGAGCGGGTAGCCCCTCCCTTTTCCACAGGATTTTCCCAACCCAGGAATCAAACCGGGGTCTCCTGCATTGCAGGCAGATTCTTTTCCAACTGAGCCATCAGGGAAACACCATACTGGCTTAGGGCCCACCCTAATGACGGCATTTTAACTTGATTGCCTCCATGCAAATCCTGTTTCTAATTCAGGACACGTTCTGTGGTAGCATGGGTCAGGACTTGCGGCAGACCTTCTGTTATTCACCCCATAACACCATCCCATCTGTGGTAGTAGGACTTCATCTTGCTGTTTTCCAGAGGGACCCGTCAGTGGGGATTGCCTTCCCTGCAGTCTCCTTGAGAGAGAGACAGTTCACTGGGAAAGCAAGTGCCACGATGGAGGTCCGGCAGCGGCAGAAAGGTTTGGGGCTGACCGTGGGGCTTGAACCCGGTGGCCTGCTCTCCACCGCCGCCTGCCTCTCCATCCACGGTGAAAACGAAGTCGGATGCCCCGGCAGGGAACCTTGTTTCTCCCCAGGGTCTGTGAACTTCTCCAGAATCCCAGACTTGGGCAGTCTAGAAGGGATTTTAATCCAGCAGCAGAAAGAGACTGAAAATCAGTTGAGCTTCAGCCAGTGTATACCGAAGGAGGAACAATGGACAGATTCGGCTCTACCGCGTTTAACCTTAGCAGAGAAACGAGAGGTGGGGTCAGCAATGCCTGGTTCTCTTTAATGCTCTGAGGAGCCCCTCATTTCCATCCTGAGGTGCTCTGTCGGAGGGGGGCGCCTGGCCGAGAGGAAGGAATGGAGGATGGGGCTGCCCCGGTCCTCCGGGGGCTTGGCGCACGTTTCCAGAGCATCTCCAGGGCGGCTGCCGGTGGTCACAGGCGTGAGGGCAGGTTTGGAGTCGCTTGAAATGTTAAACTTCATGGAGGAAGGGACACTGGCCAAGTCTAGTTAGACTGGTTTTTTTGTCATGGTTATAAAAGTATAAGCTGCCAGGGAAGGGGAGAGATACTCTTCATTGGAGTCACGTTGAGGTGTCCCCTAGCCCATCACAGGATCTGAGCTTCTGGGTGAGGCCGGTAAGCCGATTTTCACTAGAATGCTTTCTGCGGCCAGTGTGTTGGTTTTCTCGTTTGGTGTGAAGCTTCAGTTTAAGACCTTTGTGGGGTTAGCTATCCAAATGCACATTTCTGACTTCTGCCATATCTTAACTTCTTATACTCTGATGCTGCACATTGGGCATCTCCTAACAAAACCCACATACATGCCAGGAAGCATTAGGGGGTGTTTAGATGGGTAGGCTTGCCCCAGAATGCTAGTCTGTGTTTCTCTGTTTTCAGTAGCTGTATTTTAGTAGCCATATTTCCCCTTTCATCCTTGACACCTTCTACTAATTCTGTCAATAGAATAATTATTCTCTCACCTCCCTTCATCCCTTGACGCCTTCTGTTATATTAGGAGCACGCTGTCCCATCACTCAGGCAGTGACCCAGGGTTTGGACGTGTTGATCTCGGTCTCGGATGATGCCTTTTGTTGTTGTTTAGTCGCTCAGTCTTGCCTGACTCTTGTGAGACCCCATGGACCGTAGCCCACCAGGCTCCTGTGTCCATGGGATCTCCTAGGCAAGAATGCTGGAGTAGGTTGCCATTTTCTTCTCCAGGGGATCTTCCCGACCCAGGGATTGAACCTGCGTCTCTTGCATTGGCACTCGAATTCTTTACCCCTGAGCCAGGTGATGTCTCTGCTCCACTCCAAAGACAGAACTCCGTGCTCCGTCTGCAAGATACCTTCAGAGGCTCGTATGTGTGGAAGATAGAAAAGATTCCTTCTCTGGGGACAAGGGAACAGGCCGTTACCAACCAAAGTCAGGGTCGTGCTTAAAGTTGGAAACGTGAACTCTCACTGTAGCTGGAGCCTCATGCCCTGTGAAGACTGAACAGCTTGGAAATACACTGACTGCAGAACAGTCAGTTTCCACGACAGTTCTAGGTGGCTCTTCAAAAGGCAGACGTTAAAACCTACTGAAGCTGGAAAGGACAACGAATACCAGGCAGGGAAGCTGGGGAGCTCTTGCTTCTGACCCTCGCAGTCGGGGGCTTGGCCTGACATGCTCGCCTCGGTTTTGATTTTCAAGAAGAACACGAGAAACTTTTTAAAAGGGAGGATTAAGTGAATACGCCACCTCCTTGAACATTGCTTTTTTTTTTCCCCAAGCGTTACCAGGAAGGGGCAGGAGTGAGCTGGCTACAGCCCGCCTGACACCCTGTTTTTACGATTGCTTCACTAAATGAGTTTATTCTTTGCTCAGAGCAGTTTGAAGTGCTTTAAAATCTACTCCGTCTAATCCTCTGTTACTCTTTCAGCTTGAAGTTCTTCAAACCTGGTCAAGAAGCTGTGAAGTACCAGGGTCCCCGGGATTTCCAGGCCCTGGAAAACTGGATGCTGCAGACGCTGAATGAGAAGCTCCCCGTGAGTACACACGCGGCCACCCCTCCTCCTCCCTGCGTCTGTGGGGGGTGCAGAGGCCAGGTTAGGTGCCATCCTAAAGCAGCTTTTTAGAACTCAGTGACATCATAGGTAAAGATTCACTTTTTTTTTTCTATTTTAAAAAATTTTGATAAAATACTCTATAAAATTTACCCTCTTTTTGTACAAGTCCGTGGTATTAAATATTCTTAATGCGGTACAGCCATCCACCCACAGAAATTTTCCATCTTCCCAGTGGAAATCCGGGCTTCCGGGTGGCTCAGTGGTGAAGAACCCGCCTGCCAAGCAGGAGACACGGGTTTGATCCCTGGGTTGGGAAGACCCCCCGGAGGAGGAAATGGCAACCCACTCCAGTACTCTTGCCTGGAGAATCCCGTGGACAGAGGAGCCCGATGGGCTACAGTCCATGGGATCCCAAAAGAGTCAGACATGACTGAGCGAATGGAGAGCAAGCAGAAACCTTGTTCCTATTAAACACTAACTCCCCCAGCCCCTGGCACCCGTCACCCTATATTCTGCCTCTCTGAATTTGAGTACTCCCTAAGTACCTTAGTGGGAAAAGATCATGTTTTATGAGCTTTTTATTCTGGAAGTGTTCAGACACGCACAGAAGTAGGAAGAGTCTGCTGCGTGGCGGGCAGGGTGCCGTGGCGACGGCCCTGTGTGTCCACCTCTGGCCCCAGCGATGCTGACAGCCTGGTCTCCCGTCTTCCCATCCCGTTTGGCTGCGGTCAGGGTCGTCGGTAACTATTTCAGAACGCAGCCCACAGAAGCGCACTTACTACTTGCTGACACACCCTCCACTCCTGTCTCACGTGTCCTTCAAATCACGCTGATTCCTCACCACCAAAGAGGGACTCGGGGCCTCCTGGGGGCGAGGCCCCTGCTGGGGTGTCCAGTCCGGCTCAGCCCTCCCCCCTGACCCCAGCTCCCCCCACTGCCTCGGGCCACACCCCCATGTGAATCTCTCCTTTGCTTCTCAGCCCCACGGCCCTAGTGGCGTTGCTGTTAACAGAATTTAATGCCCTGAGCTCTCTGTGTCTTAATGGCCACCACTCCCTACTCTGAGGATATAATTGTGGAAACTATGATTTCTGAGGTTTTTTTTTTTTTTTAATTGAACTGTAGTGACTTACAGTGTTGTGTTACTGGGATGTTTTTTAAAGACATAGTTAGGTGTAATGTGTTCCTGAGAAAAATCTGTAATCCTCAGTCCTCCTCCAGTTGACAATAGTCTTCACCTTGTCATAAATCACGACGACCGTGAGCCCTCCACGAAGTGTCCCTTCCTTTGCGGTGCTTTCTGGTGAATGCTGAGGGCCCAGGCCCACAGAGGCCGAGCTGGAACCTTGACGGGAGCACGAAGGTGGCCAGTGTCCCCACGCTGTGGGTTTCTGATGAGGCATTGAGAGAGTGGGAGGGCTTTGCACGTAGTTTCCATTTCAGCGCTTGGCTCAGTCTGCGCTCTTGCATCAGGTGAGCATCCCCTGACCTGGAGCTTGTCTGGGCAATCGCAGGGGTCTTTGCTGTCCCCTTCCAGGGTGTCCGTGTGTCCTTTAGTTCTCCCCTCCATTCTGTGTAGCGGGCAGAGCCGGTGAGAAACCCAGCTGCTTCCCAAGTGCTGCTTCTATGTCACATCTTTTTAAAAAGTCTCAGGGCTTCCCTGGTGGCTCGGTGGTAAAGAACCCACCTCCCAGTGCAAGAGACACGGTTTTGATCCCTGGGTATGAAAGATCTCCTGGAGAAGGAAATGGCAACCCACCCCAGTGCTCCTGCCTGGGAAATCCCATGGCCCGAGGAGCCTGGTGGGCTACAGTCCACAGGGTTGCCCACAGTCGGACACGACTGAGCACCACCACCCAGAACTGCGTGCTGAAGACCACTGGCATACAGTGTTGATCAGAGCTGTGTCTAATTTTAGGTAACAGGGAAACCACAAACCCCTCAGAGTAAATTTGCATCTTTGTCACGACAAGAAAGCTGGACCAGCAGGTGTAACTTTCACATAGATTTAAACTTAAAAGTTGTTTTTTGTGTGTGTGTTCTCTGGAGGGGGGAGGAAGCCCATTTTAAAGGGGAGTTCATAGTTTCCAAAAACATTTAAAATAAGTTTTTCACCAAAAAAAAAAAAAAGGCAGTCTTCTGTGATGACTGTATTCAGGAAGCCATCAGCCAGGGTCAGGATGGCAGAAAGACGTCATCTCATGAGCTGACGTCCCTTTGGGGGTGGAGTCCAGTGCCCGGGCCAGGGCTGGGGACCTTGTGGCCAGGCCAAGGCTCAGCGTCGCCCACCTCGGGCCTGTCCTGGGGCTGTGGCCACACGGACCCCACCCTGGACCTGTCACCCCCCTGCCGTATCTTGGCGTCAGAGCTGTGGGCATTGCTGAAAATGATGCTAGGCTGGCTTACTACAGAAAAATTGAAGTATTTAGACTTCATGTAACAAACCAGAATTCTTCTCAGTATGAATTTTGCTCTATGTTTTAAGTGAAAGCTTTAAAAAAAAAAACTTCTATGAAAGTGTTGGTCTCTCAGTCATGTCCAGCTCTTTCTGACTCCGTGGGCTGTGGCCTGCCTCTGTCCCTGGGATTCTCCAGGCAAGAATGCTGGAGTGGGTTGCCATTTCCTCCCCAGGCGATCTTCCCGACCCAGGGATTGAACCTGAGTCTCTGCATTGCAGGCAGATTCTTTGCCATCTGAGCCACCAGGGAAGCCCTTCTGTATTTATACCTAAATAACTTAATATATACATTTTCTTATTTAAACAGGATAAATTTAAGGTTTTCCCTCCTATTATTATGGTAGTATATTAAAGTCAAGGGAAATCTGCCATTTCTCACCTTCTACTCCAATTTTTATATTTCTATGTTTCCTTCCTGTATTTTTTCCTTAAGTAAGTCATCATCAGACATGGTTCATTTCATTAATGATTTTTTATATAGTTGAATCATCGTTACAGTGATCATATTTTATCTTGTAGATATGTCAAAATTCAGCCCTTTTCTGTCATTGGATATTTAGGTTGCTGTTAATTTTCCATCATCAGAACGCTGTAATAAGGAACATTTTTATCTTCGTAAAAGACTTTTTTCCCTACTTTGGAGTGACTTTTTTAGAATATAGATCCAAACATAACATTGCAAGGCAAAAAATAAAAAAGCCAGACTACTTGTAGAGCTCCTGTTGAGTAGTGCCGAGTTGCTTTCTTTTTTAACAAATGTCTTTATTTTTGGCTGTGCCAGGTCTTCAGTGCCGCGCGGGCTCTTCTCTGGTTGAGGCAAGGGGGTTCCCTCTAGTTTCAGGGCTCAGGCCTCTCACCACGGGGGGCTTCGAGCCGCGGGGGGGCGTCTCACGCGGCGGGGGCGCCTCTCGCTGCAGGGGGCTTCTTGCCCGGGGGGCATCAGCTCCCGAGCACTCGCTCAGCAGTTGTGGCGCACGGGTGTAGCTGCTCCTCTGCATGGGGGATCTTCCCAGACCAGAGATCAAGCCCGTGTTTCCTGCATCGGCAGGTGGATTCTTGACCACTGGACTGCCAGGGAAGCCCCAGGTTGCTTTTTTAAGACTCTAAGCCCACGCTGTCCCCAGCCTGGGTACCCATTCTGTGACCTGTAATGATCATCTATCTTTACCTTCCATGGAACAAGGACCAAAGACGTGCTCCTTTGGTGCCAGGAACAGGTGTTTTACCACCGCAGGCCCTTTGAACACCTTACACACAGCGACATCCAGTCTTCTCTTTCACTTTGTTGGACCTCACTGACTGTCCCTTAGCCATCACTCTCTCAGACATCCTTTTGTGTGGGTCCTTAGCACTTAATGCAAACGGAGCGTGAAAGTCGAGCCAGCAGCAGAAAGCTTCATGTGGCTCTTCAGTCGCTCAGTCGTGTCCGATTCTTTGCGACCCAGTGAACTACAGCACACCAGACTTCCTTGTCCTTCAACAGCTCCCAGAGCTTGCTCAAACTCATGTCCATGAGTCAGTGATGCCACTCAACCATCTCATCCTCTGTCATACCCTTCTCCTCCTTCCTTCAATCTTGCCCAACATCAGGGTCTTTTCTAATTAGTCAGCTCTTCGCATCAGGTGGCCATACTATTGGAGCTTCAGCATCAGTCCTTCCAGTGAATATCCATATTAAGGATGGACTGGTTGGATCTCCTTGCATTCCAAGGGACTCTCAAGAGTCTGCTGCAACATCACAGTACAGAGCATCAGTTCTTCAGTGCTCAGCCTTTTTTATGGTCCAATTCTCACATCCATACATGACTACTAGAAAAACCATAGCTTTGACTATACAGACTTTTGTCAGCAAAGTAATGTCTCTGCTTTTTAATATGCTGCCTGTGTTTGCCAAAGCTTTGCTTCCAAGGTGCAAGTGTCTTTTAATTTCATGGCTGCAGTTGCCATTTGCCGTGATTTTCGAGCCCCAAAAAATAACATGTGTCACTGTCTGTTTTCTATGAAGTGATAGGACCAGATGCCATGATCTTAGTTTTTTAAGTGTTGAGTTTTAAGCCAGCTTTTTCACTCTCCTCTTTGACCTTCATCAAGAGGCTCTTTAGTTCCTCTTGATTTTCTGCCATAAGGGTGGTGTCATCTGCATATCTGAGGTTACTGATTTCCAGCTTGTGCTTCTTCCAGCCCAGCACCTCTGCTCGTGTACTCGGCATGCAAGTTAAATAAGCAGGGTGACAATATACAGCCTTGACGTAGTACCTCTTTCCCAATTTGGAACCAGTCTGTTGTTCCACGTCCAGTTCTAACTGTTGTTTCTTGAGCTGCACACAGATTTCTCAGGAGGCCGGTAAGGTGGTCTGGTATTCCCATCTCTTTAAGAAGTTCATTGTGATCTACACAACAGCTTTAGCATTGTCAATGAAGCAGAAGTAGAAAACTTCATGGTGCTTTACAATTACAACTCTGTCCAACTGAGCTCTCAGCATTTTGAAAGCTTCTAATGACTTAATTTGGATATTCATTTTAATGGAAATACAAACCCCTAGATCAGAACTGAATAACAGACACCCACATGTCTGTAGGATAGTGATCTCTCAGTGATATCTCTTCACCTCTGCTTGCTCTGGTTGGACGCCACAGGTGTGTTGGCCTAAAAGGAAATGGAGACATCTGGGATGGTGTGGTTTGGTGGTTAGTAGTTAGCTGTCACACTGGTGTCTGCGCAGGTACTGGAGAAGTGCCTTTAAAAAAGCCACTTGTCTCTTCACTGTTTCTGTTCCAAACTTAGTCCCATGAATTACATTCTTAAAAGTGCAGCCCAAGTTTGCTCTGTGGTTTATCTCTCTGTAGCCTTTCATCCGTCCAAATTTCCCCTCTTGTCACCTTTTTTCTTTTACCAGCTCTTCGGAGTTTCACCTTCCATCCTGGCTTTCCCTACTGTTGCTGTGCCTGAAGCGTGGCTGGGTCCGCCTTCCCCTCTGTGTGTCTTGGTGCCTCTCGCGTCTGTGTTCTGCCAGCTGTCTTGGGTCTCCTCTCCAAGAACCGGGCGGGGTGCTAGTTTGGGACGGCCCACCCTTCGGTTTGTCTGCTCTGTTGGGTTGGGTTGGAGGGCAGCAAAGGACGGAGGGTGCGCTGCTGGCTGTCACCTGGTTGCCCTGGAGCATCAGTCCTACAGCACTTGCCAAGGGGCCTCTTGCCCTGATTAAGTTGCTTCCTGCCTCGGGCGCCCCTCCACACAGCAGCATCCCCCGGAGGCTGGAGGTGGCCGGGGGAGGGAGGAGAGGCAGAAGGTTCCAGGCAGAAGCCGTGATGGGCTCCACGGTCCCTCAACACACACCCATGGTGACTCTTGTTCCGTCTCCCCCATCAGACTCCAGAGCCCACGGAGGAACCGCCCCGCACCCCCGAGCCCAAGCAGGGCCTGTATGAGCTCTCGGCCGGCAACTTCGAGCTGCATGTGGCGCAAGGTAGGCGGGCGGGCGGGCGCGCGCCTGAGTGCCTGGGGGCGGGGCTGCGCCCCTGGGGGCGGGCCGACCTGCCACGTGGCCGGGGCTGCTGCTCTCGCTGCTCTGCTCGAGGGCTCGGAGGCCACTGCATGGGTGGTGTTCGTCCAGGATTTCACTCATCTAGCCCCGCCGATACCCGTGTCTGGCATTCTTCCTCTCGGAGATTATGTCTCCATCCATTGGAGAGGCCGGTTCTGGTGCCAGGCTGAAGCCTCCGGTGTGCGAAGCGCACACGTCGGGACTGCGTGCACTTACCTAATTTGTGCACAGGCTGGACCTGCGCCGTTGGATGGTGAAATGTTTGTTTCTGTTAGTCTTAAAAGTGTACTTACTGACCTGAGGCAGAAACAAAGGTGTACCTGTTTAAAGCAGAATTTAGTTGGGACCGTTGTAACACACAAATCAGGATAGGTGTTCTTCACCCTTGAACCACTTTTCTGACACCACATGTTCGTCTCCTCTATGTCAGAGTGACCCGAGCACAGTTTCTGACGTTAGTGATGTGCGTTAAGACCCCTCTACGCACGCTCAGAAGCCTCGCTCAGCAGTGAAGGGCTTGAACAGGAATCCAGCCGCCAGGCTGACCTCCGCTCTCAGATGCTGCCGTGGAGAGAGATCCTCCATGCGACTGAGGCAGAACTGTTCGGAAAGAGGGCTTAAAATTGTGTCAGGCCTCGGGGGTCCTGCCTGCTGGGAGTGAAAACCCACCTGCTCCAAGGCTGGAATCATTTGTTCTGAGGCCTGCAGCCACGTTCCGTTTTTAATTAAAGGTCATTGTTGGTCCGATGCTCTGGGAGTGGGCCTTCAGGGTTTCTGTCCTCCGGGAGTCGCTTTGAGTCGGGCTTGGACTCCCCGCTGGTTGTATTACCAGAACCGGCCAAAGCGCAGCGCCGACCCCGAGTGGGTCACCTGCCGAGGGGCCGGGTCTGCCGGGAAAGCGGTGCCCCGCCGGCCCTGACCCCGCTCCCCTTGAGGCTCCTGGACCCGCTGTCTCCACCTCACAGCTCAGGACGGTGAGGGGCCTGTCTGGGGAGACATGGTTCCAGCCGTGCAGACCAGCTGCTAACATATATATATTTTGTTTTGTAAAAGAACTGAGGTACAGTTGGTACAAAATATTGACTGTCAAAGCAAGTTTCCCCCACCTCCCTCAGATACCTCCCTGCCACGCTGACCAGATGCCCCATGAGCATCACCTAACGGGACTCGGAGCCTGGGTCCCGTTAGGGCCGCTGGTCTCCTCTCCCTGCCAGCAGCCTGACGCCTTTCTTGGCCCTAGGCTGGTCAAGGTCAGGAGCCTAGATAAAAGTCCAGTCTCTCAATCATGATGTGGTTTACTTCCTAGCCAAGAGAGTGATACTCAAGTCTTAGTTGTTTTTTTAACCCTCTATTTTATTGTGAAAAGCCAGATAGAGAAAGCGGTGTAGGGGCAGTGACTGGTCCCAAAGCGGTCACTCTGGAGCCACTGTCCAGCTCGAGCCCTGGCCCCCCTCTCCCCCCGAGGGGCCGCCGCCTGACCGCACGGAAACCACCACTCGCTCTGCTTTCTGGTTTCATCACCCAGGTGTGCCCTACAGCAAGCAGTTCAGTCTGCTCTCCCTCTCTAAGTCTCTCTCAGTCTCTGTTCCCTCAGCTCTCTTCCTGGCCTTCTAGAAGTTTGCTGAGCACACAGACGACCTGACCTGCACGGTCCCCGCCGTGGGGACTTGTCAGGTTCCCAGGGTGTGGAGTACAGCTTCCCTGGCCCCAGGCCCTCATGTCTCTATTCCCTGTGAGCTGGCAGTTGGATCTAAGGCCCTTTTCGCTTTGTGTTTGATGTTTTGAGGGGTGTGAGCGTGACTGCATGGCTGGACAGTCTCTCTCTGATGTCAGCAGCCTTGCTCATCACTGCCTAGATCCGTAATTCACCAGAGATGCCAGCCAACACCACTGCTGAAATGATAGCGTCCCTTCTTTATTTTTTTTCAGCAAGAGGTAACTGGCCCTTGTTTATCACTCCGTTATCCGGAGTGCAGTTCATCTCAGGAAAGACAGGCTATAAAGTGCCTGTTTCTTTCCCTTTATTGCCAGTTTTCCAAATAATGAGTTGGTTCCCTGGTGTCCTTCAAAGGTGACAAATTCCTTTCTAAGGATGGTCATGAACTCAGGGATAGAGATGTATTTGATGGGGAGTCACTTCTTACCAGTTGAAGGGTTCATCCTGAGTTGAGCTTTGCAGGAAGACAGAGCTGACACATGCCCATTCTGTCTGTGTGGGTGGCTGTAAATCACTGTCTCCCCCTCCCCACCTTCTCCCCCGAAGGAGACCACTTCATCAAGTTCTTCGCCCCGTGGTGTGGTCACTGCAAAGCTCTGGCTCCGACCTGGGAGCAGCTGGCTCTGGGCCTTGAACATTCCGAAACTGTCAAGATTGGCAAGGTGAGTGAGTGCCCCTATTAAACTGGAAATAGATGGCCTTTGGCTGGATTAATTAGCTGAGTAGCCCATTATTCATTCTGTGCGTGTTGTTGCAAACTTGATTTATTAATTCCATTTAGCGTGCCACTTGATAATTCATTTCACTTTCACAGATGGCAACCTGGTTTTGAGAGTGCTGGCTTTTCCACATTCTAGAGATTAAAATTAGGGCTTTGGCTCCTTGGTTTATTTTGAAGCAGTGGCCGGTTCTGGATTGGCAGCCCCAGAAGCCTTTCTGCCAAGTCCTGGGACGAGGCCGTAGAGAATGTTCACTGGATGCCCTCGGAGACCATCCACCCTGGGTCTCACCCAAGAGCTGGTTCCTAAAGGACCTCGGCTCCACGCCCAGCTGGGGTACAAAAGACCCACCCAAAGTGAGCCCCGCCTGCTCACCCTGCTGCCGGGAATCCTTTCCTGCTTCACGTGGGGAAGGCAGAAGTGGAGCCTAACCACTGGGTTTTTCAGTTTTGTCTTTTTATTATAGTCCAAATACTCCTATTTAAAATTGATGACTTTTTTCCTTTTGCTCTTAAAACACTGTAAGCTTGAACCTGAGAAGACATTTTTCCCATCGAAGTACTTAACCAGTCTCTACCCTGCTTAGCTTTTGAGATCAGATCGGGCGTGTTGAGGGTGGTCTGGCTGCAGACCTGAGGACATTTTTCAGCTTGCTTTGTGACTGGCGGGGGGGGGGGGGGTCCTCTGTCCCCAGCAGCAGGCCATACCCTCTCCAGGTGTCAGGGTAGGATCCCTTTTTCCACCTGTTAACCTGCTTAGGGTAAACGATCGCTTCCTAAAAGCTGGCGTTTTTAAGTGAGTGAAAATAAGTTGCGTCTCTGAAGGACATCTCATTCCCCTGCCCACTCTGCTCAGGGGCATTTGAGCAGCTGTTGGGAGAGGTCTCTCTAGAAGCTGCAGACACTGCCGATGGGGGATTTGAGTAGTTTTCTTTCTGAAAATGCTGAGTGTCCGACAGATGGTTGGTCAGGAAGGCCCTCGGAGAGACTGACTGGGCATGCGGTCTCTCTCCAGGTGGACTGCACGCAGCACTACGAACTCTGCTCAGGAAACCAAGTCCGAGGTTATCCTACGCTCCTCTGGTTCCGAGATGGCAAAAAGGTACGTCTTGGGGTCTCCGTGTGGAGACGGGAGGTGTGTCTTTGCCCCAGGTGAGCTGTCGAGTGGGTTAAGAGGGCACGGCAGCCCACTCCAGTGGGCTGGGATTCTCCAGGCGAGAATCCCCGGGGACAGGGGAGCCTGGCGGGCTGCAGTCCGTGCGACAACACAGAGCCGGGAGCGGCTGAGCTCATTGGCCCAGCTGCCAGCACAGGTTGTTCGGGCTCTGGTTTAAAGGCACACGTCACGGGACGAGAGGCTCTTGGTCTTCCCTACTGAGATCTGACGGTTGAGAGGAACCATCAGGTGTTAACACACAGCACTACAGGCTCAGGTTATCTTTAGAACAAGCAGAGTCCACAGTCCTGTTCCACTGTTCTGGTCCCGAGGCGGGTCAACGTCTGCTGCATCCCTGGCCGATGGACAGCGCCCAGGCCTGGTGACCCTTGGTTCCCCCGAAGGATGGCCCTGTCAAGCTCTCTGCTCAGAGCAGTGCTTCGGTTGATCATTTATGCTTTGCCTTGACGTTTGAGCAGCAGACACCACGGGGCCGGGACCCCCAGAGAGAGACGTCTGAAGGCACAGGTCCCGGGCGGGCGGGGGGAGGCCCCTCGGCCCTGACGTGTGCCCGTGCCCCGACAGGTGGACCAGTACAAGGGCAAGCGGGACCTGGACTCACTGCGGGAGCACGTGGAGTCACAGCTGCGGGGCGTGGGGCGGGCCGCCCCGGAGCCCGCCCAGCCCTCGGAGGCCCCGGCGCTGGCCGCCGAGCCCGCGGCCGAGCAGGTGGGTGCCCGCCAGGGACGCTGCGGGGACAGCCCGCGGCCCGCGTTCTGGGACCGTTCTTCCCTTGGATTCAGTCATCACTGCCCTTATGTCAGCGAACAGATGAGGGGCCACTGGGTATTTGCCGGAGGGGCTGCCCCGATGGGCGGGGGTCAGCCGGCCGTGTCCGGGACAGCGCGGGAGGGCGGGGCGAGGAGGACAAGGCCGCTGTGTGCGGGAGAGGCGGCGGCCCCTGCGCCAGGAAGGTCTTTGCAGCCCGCAAGGGGAGCCCGTGGCGGGCTTGGAGCAGACGGGGACTTGAAGAAAGCTGCCCGGCTGAAGCCCGTGTGAAGGAGACGGGAAAGGGTTGTATCCGGAGGTGGGCGGCGTTGGGCCCCTGCGGCCGAGGCGAGTCCAGCTCCAGCAGTGCATCGGGGTGGTGGGGAGCCTGGCCGGGGACACCGGGCAGGCGCTGGGGCATCCAGGGGATGGTGCACCGAGCTCGGGGCCCAGTTCTCCGGGCTGGGCGGGGTGTGCGTCTGAAGCTGATGTCTGTCTCCTGGGATTAGTTGGGTCCCATGTCTGCAGCTTTACATAGACGCCGAAGCCAGGGGTGGGAATGAGATTACTTGAGAAGTCAGAATCGTGTTTGCTCAGCTCAGTTCCTAAATGGAATCCTCGTGTTGCTGATTCAGTCCACACATGGGGAGCCTCGGTCCTGGGGAGGATGCCCTGCCCGCACCCCCCCGCCCCCCAGTGACCGTCCAGCCTGAGTGGTCACAGGGCGGTCGTGACTGCTGGAGTCACCACACCCTGAGGCCAGGCCTCTGTGCTTGGAAAACCAGGGGCCACCTACCCCCTCCTCCCCGCGTGGGGCCGCGGTGGGCCTTCCCCGCCCTGAGCAGGAACCTCGGCGCCTGGGGACTGTGTGGATGTTGGTTAAACGACGTTTTGGTTTAAGAAGTAAACAGATGATTTTGTAGTTACGGACCCTGTGTCGGGGAGTTGTGTGTCACAGTGGTTGTAAAGGTCATCCCAGATCCAGTCTAATTATACACTGTGATGTTTTCATCAAGCCCAGACGGTTTCTATTTATAATCATTTTCCACCATTAAGATCTTTCGGGGAGTGTGGTCACCTCTCCGGACAGAACGGTGGCAGGTCCCGACGGCCTCCTGGGCGCTGACACCAGGACCCCGTGCCAGACCCAAGGGGGCGGCCGTGGTGCCGCAGTCACATGACGCATGCCATGTTTTTGCTCCCATGTGAGGCTCGCAGGTCCACTTTTGGAGGAGCGGATACAATTCCGTAAAGAACCATCCGGATGGAAGCTCTTTAGAGCAGACTGCCTCGCGGCCCCTTTGTCCTGAATTCTCCAGAGTTCAGATAGCAGTTTTCACATTAACTTTGAATTTTAAGACGGAAAGCAGCCTGTAATCTGTAAAACACATCAGTGCCTGTGCTTCTCTTAAGGTCCTTAGAGAAGAAACTCTCTTTATGAACCAACGATGAGAGCAATAGAACCAGCGAGAAGAGCAACATGTGTCCAGAGTTCAGGGAGGCCAGGCAGTTTGGACTTGGGTTAGTGTTTGGGGCTCCAGGCCGGCGAGGTGCAGACCGAGGCGTGGCCTGCCCCGCCGTCCGGCATCTCCTGGGCACCGGACCGTGGGCCCGGTGATTAGTTACTGCTGTTTTGTGAAAGGCGAGTTGCGCGGGTGTTTGTGTGTAGCCTTGGAGCACACATCACACCATTTTACAGATGTCTGACTCGTATTTCCGGGGTCCCGAAACTTGACCCAGGCTGCTGCATCTGCTATATTTGAGTGGTGGCTTTTTCCTACCCAGGGCACCGTGTTGGCGCTGACGGAGAGGAACTTCGATGACGCCGTCGCAGAAGGCATAACCTTCATCAAGTTTTATGCTCCATGGTAAGTGGCTGTTGGTCAGAAACTGCTGTCGTCATGCTCTCAGGTCACATCCTGACTTGCCGCGCTCACGCTGAGCCTCCAGCCTCAGTGTTGTGGGCACATACCACGCTTACACATAGTCGTGCTTTCAGGGAAAAGGAAGTGTTACCACATGGCTCCTGGATTCAGGTAGGTGGAAGTTTGGTGTGTGGAGGAGGAGGTCAAGCTCAGTCTACTTTGGAGAAAACATTAAAAACAGCAGATGGTTATCACAGCCAGCATCAGGTTGAAGTTGAGTGGGATCTGGGTGCTCTTCCCCATAGACGGCCCTTGCAGTTCAGCCTCGACCCTTCATCTCTGGATGTTGGAACTTGGGTTGCCGCTGGGGCCATGCAGCCCTGACCGTCCCGGGGCCTTTGGGGAATGGAGCAGAGGTGGGGGCTGCTCCAGACCACGGAACCGGAGGCGGCGGGAACACAGCGGGTTCCGGGCTGTGCCTCGCACCTGTGACCCTGGCAGCCCCTTAGATCTCTGGAACCCAGTTTCCTCAGCTGTGACGTGGGAGGAGAGCGTTGTCTTGAAACAGCCCATTTGGAAAAAATGTGGAGGAGAATGTAGGCTCCTGACATTACAGACAAGTATCGTCACCACGGTCACTTCTCCTCCGTTTGTTTCGTTCCAAGTGCTTACGAGTAACTGCTACGGAGCATGTGACTCGGAGTTGTCTGTTCTTAAAGAATAGAAACATGAGTAAATAATGCCTTTAAAACTGTCAGGTATTTCCAGTTTTTTGGTAAACCTCCAGCTGTGCAGATTGAGTGTAAGGACAGCAGATCGTAGAGGGGAAGCGGGGTTGGAACGGGGCTCAGGGCCTCCCTGCTCACAGCGCATCGCCGAAGCCTCAAGGAAGCTTCGAATTGTCTTGAATATTTCAGACCATAAGGAATCGAACCTGCTTTTGGTATTCAAGTGATTGTTTTTTTAAAAAGTGTCTCATTTCCAGTTCATCTCCTCCTGCTCATGGTACACTCATAAACCAGGGAGCCCGCAGTTTCCTGCAGAGAAAGTCTTAGAGCTAAACCTTGTTCTCAGACTGTGTTGTGTCTGTCTGGTTATCTGAATGCCGCCTCGGGTTTGGATTCGGGGATGAGGGCGGGGAGGAGGGCACGCCGATGCGCTGGCAGGAGAGGTGGACGTTTATAAACTTCGGCCCAGGAGACTGTCTGGGCAGCGGCGCGTGGCTGAGCAGACCCAGCACCTCAGAGGCCTGTCACGTTCTGTCCCCAGGTGCGGGCACTGCAAGGACCTGGCCCCAACCTGGGAGGAGCTCTCCAAGAAGGAATTCCCCGGCTTGGCGGAGGTCACCATCGCCGAGGTGGACTGCACTGCCGAACGCAGCCTCTGCGGCAAGTACTCGGTGTGTCCGCAGGGCCTCATCCCAGGTCACTCACGCTGCGCTCATCCTCTCACCAAAGTGTGTGTGTCCTTTTGAGAGTCTTGAGGTTTTTTCTTTCTCATTTGAAAAGCAAAAGAGCTGCTCTCCCAAAAGAAAGGCTTTCCTCTGTGAGCGCACACGATTCTGTGGTGGTGAGTGGGGGTGAGGCTTTCCTACCTGGCTGGAGGCTGGGCCACCACCTGCAGGACCATTCTCGTTGGCCAACAGGCAGCTGGCGCGTCGCCTTCCTCGTAAACGCCTGAGGAGCTTGATTTTCAGACACGAGGCGGCGCTCCATTGAGGAAGTGTTTGATCCTACACTTTCCCGCTGGGAGGGCTGCACCAGCAGGGTAGGCGTGTGGCTTGGCTTCTTCATACAACTGTTGCCTTTTTCCCATGCTATTAGCACCATCAAATAGCCTAGAACACTTGCGATTTCTGTTTTTCAACTTGTGTTGTTTTCGTAAAACACTTCTGAGGCCTCTGGAGTTTATTAGAAGAGATAATAGCACAGACGTCATCTGCTTGCTAGAAGACAGTGTGTCTGTGTTTTAAAGAGAAAAGAGGTGAGCCATGGCAGACAGGTGCAGAGTGTCAGGCCCCCGCCAGCCGCACCAGCTCCCCAGGGCTGGTGTGAAAGTCCAAGCCGCCGGTTCAGGGTGAAGCTCCTCCTCGATGCTAATCTTGGAAGTGTTTCGTTTGGGTTTGAAAACTGAAACAGAGCCCCAAGGCTCTGCTTTCTGCAGCCTCAGGTCGTTTTCTGAGGGTCTGTGTACTCTGAAAATCTAGCTGTAGACTTCCTTGAGCACAACTCAAGGATCTTTTCTGATTATCCTTGATTCAGGCTGTTTTTTAAGCTTTGCTTTTCTTTAAGGTACGAGGCTATCCCACACTGCTGCTCTTCCGAGGAGGAGAAAAGGTCAGCGAGCACAGCGGGGGCCGCGACCTGGATTCCTTGCACCGCTTCGTCCTGCGTCAGGCGAAGGATGAGCTGTGAGCCCGGCTGGACGCCACCTCCCGCCTGGCCCTGGGCACGACGGGGCGCTGTCCCTCGGCCCCTCCTGGCTTCCCTGCAGCAGTGACTCAGAGATCCGAATGTACTAAACTCGTGCTATCTTCTCTGTGTGTGTTTTTAAGCCAACACACCCTACAGATTCTTAAGTTTCTCTAAGTAAATGTGTAACTCACGATCCCTTTGCAAACTAAATATTTTCGGTGGCGACCTACCATCCGTTCCCTGCTTTAATCTGCTCTTGGTGAAATCGAAATGGTTTCCTTTGAGACTAAAATAGTCAAGGAAAACCCAATTGCCAGACTACTCTTGGCTCCTGATTCTGGTGACAGCGTCATCCAAAGCGTGGTTTTCAAAGGGTCCAGGAGTCCTTGCCTTGTGGCCCTGTTGAGTTGATCACATGACTTGTTCCTAAGGTGGCTGGTCCATAGCGTGGAGCGGATTTAACACACAAACCCCCGATGCCTGTGGAAAAGCCACTTTTCCAGCCCGTCCTGGACCTCCTGTCTCTGCGGGTGCCTCTCACGGAGGGTGGTGAGCCGCCGTGAAAGCCGTGGTACCCCTGACATGTGCCTGAGTAAGATAGTGCCGCTGCCATAGCCTCGTGTGGGTGTTGACACTTGACCAATTGCTTATTACTGTTCAAGGAATACTTGTCTCTCCTGAAAGATTTCATTAGGGGATGTGAAGCCAGAGTCCCTATGAATGTCAGGAGTCACGGTCTCTTGTTGAAACTGTATGTAGGAAGTTCCACACGGCTCGTCATGACCCTTCTAAGAACTCCTAGGAAGGTTCTGATTGTCTCTGCCCCCCAGGAGGGGGCAGGAGGGCTGCACGAACTCTCCCAGGTCAGGTATCAGGGACCGGGGACACCCCGCGGCTCCACAGCAGAACCCAGACCGGAAACAGCAGCAGGTGGCAGTCTGCCTTCCGGGAGGCCGCCCGCCCGTCTCCTGTGGGCAGAGGGGATCGACTTGCCCTCCAGACCAAGGCAGGCGGGGCTGCAGTCAGCCACGTCCCTGGCGTCCTGAGTCACGCCATCCTGAGTATGAAGCCTTTTTATCATCGCCCTTGGAAATCAGCCGCCGTAGGCCTAGGCTCCTTTAAGGTTAGTCGTCCTGATAACACCCTTCGCCCCAGCGCCCTTGCTCTGGCGACGTGGCCGCTTAGCACAGAGTGCCTGATGGTAAGAACCTGGGAAACGAGACCCCGTCTGCTGTCTGCAGCAGACGGTAACAGCAGGGTCCCGGCCAGCCTCTGCCTTAAAGGAAATCTTTATTAATCATGTATGGTTCACAGATGTTCTTTTTAAAAAAAAAACAAAACCCCAACTTTCTAGAGAAGCACAATCCTCATGAGTGGCTTCAGCTTTGCATTATGAGTCTTGTTTTAAAAGAAAACCAGAAAATCAAAGTGGTACAATTTGTTTACACTATGATACTTTCTAAATAAACTTTAAAAAAAAAAAAGTCTGGTGTTTCCTTAAATGTTACAGCAAAACATATAAAATAGACAATAAATTATAGTTTCTATTTACAAAAAAGCTGTAAGTTCAGATATATATCATAAATGTATTATTTAATCAGTTTAGTATGAAATTGGTTTCCTAGTACATGATCATGAAAAAGACATCTTAAAAACATTCTCATATTTGATCTGAGTCTCATTTTCAACACCGTGATTTTGATTTCCAACCCACATGCCTGTCCTAACCCCTTCCTAAGTCTGGATGACTTAGAAAGTCCTCAGCCCGGCACCTCTACTGGTTTAACCCCTTGACGCAGGACGCCGTCCCGTCAAAGAACCGCATTACCAACCCAGAAGAGGTGATGGTCCTGACGTAAATGAGCTTTTCAGAGAGCCAGCCCCCACAGGAAGGGGTGCGGACGGGTCACTCGGTTAAAGGATGGCTTTAAAAAGACTTCTCTCTTCCGTGGAGCCTCCCCCTCAAAGAGGGGGGTCACTCCTATCTCTGCTTTTGGTCCCAGCACAAAACAGCAAATGCCGGGGCGAGGACAGGGGTAAAGGATCTAGTTTAACTGAAATAAGTATCTTCTCACACCAACAAAACGCCCACACGCGACAGCAAGACTGAGACAAAAGGCACGCAGTTGCAGGCCGCCCAGCGGAGACCCGCGTCCCCGGGGCCAGATCTGAACAGAGGGCCGACCTTCCTGTGATCTGCAAACTCTGCCTTTGAGAAACTACTGAACCCGCTGATATTTGAGCCAAAGAAGACTTTTACTTCAAGATTATTTTCCCTATTTACTCTAAAACCACAAGGAGCTTGGATCTAAAACAGTAACTGATTTCGGTGGGTTTGGGGAGGGTGCAGAGGGGAACCCTTCCAAATTACGTTTCTGCAGCCCCCAGCCCCCAGACGCTTCAGCACCGCTTCCTAGAGCCCGACGGCTACTCGGCAACGGTTACGGTGTGAGCAAGGGGCGGACGGGGTCCCTCCAGACCTGTGTCAGGCGGAAAGGCCGCCGCCAGGCCAAGGTGGCGGCGGGGCCGCCTCCTGCGTCCCGGGGGCCTCCGTGGGCTCCTCGAGGCAGACGTGATCCGGGAGTCCAGGCAGCGTGCAGAGCGTCCCCCGCCGCTCGCCCCGAGTCAGTGGCAGCCGCACGCTCGGACGACCATGTTCCTGTACTTTTTCAGGATGACGTTGGAGTTGTCGTCGAAGTAGAGCACCGAGATGGCGTTGAGTTTCGTGGGCGCACAGCACGGCTTGGGGACGTACTCGGGGTTCATGAGGTGAACCTGTTGCAGAGACGGGAGGAGGGGGCAGTTAGGGACAGTCCCTGGTCGCGGCTGACCCCCCGCCCCCTGCCCCCCGTGGCGTGGAGCCAGCCAGCGCTCACCAGGGTCTGCACGATGGCGTGGTTGGTGGCGTTCATGTGCGCGTTGAGAGGGAACGAACATTCTCCGTCACAGTAGTTGGCAGCGTAGCCCTTGGGGGCAATGATCCAGTCCTTAACCGAACGCAAAAGGAAGCGACAAGGGGTCAGCACACACGCCCTGCACGAACCCCATGAGAAAGCCTCGTTCAGGCGGGGCAGCTTAGGAGACCGACACGGGGTCCAGGACACACAAGGGGCAGAGAGAGGTGCAGACCTGCCGAGTCTGGCTCTGGAGCCCTGGTTGCCCTCGCTGGGCGCCCCCTGCCCCCGGCCTGCCTGGAGGCCCGCAGGTGGTTGGCTCCAGGGACCTGGACCAGAGGTGCCTCCTAGAGTCCAGGGTATCCCTGTCCCCATAATGCCACCTGCACACGGGAACCATCCCGTCAAGTGGCACCTAGAATTTGCCTGAGCAGTGGCTTCAGGAAGGAGGCAGAACACAGGTGCCCTTCCAGTCTGGGTGAGCTAATAACTGTCAGGTCAGTTTTTCCAGCCCTTTCTGGAAACCCAGTGCACGCTGTTGAAATAAATGCCCAAAGCAATACTGGCCCTGGGGCCCGAGAGAGAATGAGGGAAGAACTCTGGGCTGGCTGTGGGGCTGCAGGGACTCGGAGGCCGTGAACCTGGGGCTCCCTAGAGAGGTGTGGGGAGGCGGGGTCGAGGGGGGTCTTCAAGGACAAGTGGGCGGGCTGTCGCCCCCTCCCCTCCAAGACCTGGGCATCTGAGAGGCTCCTAAGTACCTTCCCAGGAGGAACCTTCCTGACCCTGAGGCGCGAGGTCTCTGATGACGGCCGCCGCCTTCAGGGTGAGAGGCGACCCCGAGCCAGTCAGGAGCACTCACCTGCCACCCCAGGTCCTGGAAGCTCACGTAGAGCTCGTGCTTTCTGCAGGCCGTTTTCAGCTCGCTGCTGTTGTAGTCTGCTGGGGATCAGAAGGCGCCCCGGTCACTCACTCATGCCTTCCTTCACAGCCTCACCCCGACGCTTGGCCGCGGCCTGGGGCACCCAGAGCTCTGCAGGCTGCCAGCCGCTCGGGCATCTGACACACAGTCTCCCCTCTACCCCGGGGTCGGGCACGCGGGCTCCCGTCGCAACACGCCCGCGCTGACCTGAGTGGACCCCTTTCGGCAACAGGGGCGTGTCGTGATCCCCTACTGGACCAAGACGCCCCAGAGCCCTGACTCGGAGGACACGATTCACGTTCAAGACGAACGCGCCGGCAGGTTCCGATTCTAACGGGGACCGTCCTGAAGCTGCTCGGGGGCCCTGAGGACAGCGGGGGTGGGGTGGGGCAGGAAGGGCCTCCTGAAGGGGGCGCCCCGGAGCCAGGCCTGGCCAGGAGTGGGGGGCCCTGCTGTCCAGCCCCGTGACCGGGTCAGTGTCTCCCAGCCTGCACTAAGCCGCCCCAGGAGCAGCGCTCTCTGGAGTCGGGCCCCACCAGCCTGGTTTCCCAGCCCCGGCTCATCGAGGGCTGACGGAGCCGCTTCTGGGCGGCATGCCCTCTCCGAGGTGCCCCAAGAAATGAGGCTTCTGTCCTCCAGAGACTCAGGAAGCGGCAGGGGTGATGTGTGACATGCCCAGCTCACTCCAGCACAAAACAGAATCTGGACACCATGCAAGGGTGGGACTGGAGAGAAACCCCCGGGAGGTTACGAGGGGGGGAGGGGAGAGCGTGGTCATGGTGGGATGATTGTGAGGACACGTGAAGAGCGACCCAAACCGTGGAATCTCCTCCGTGATCACTCCAGCTCCTCATGGGTCCCCAGAGAGCCCAGGATGGGGGTTGGTCCCCAGAAAGACCACCACAGGATCACAGCTCAGAACTCAGGCCAGCCTGACCTTGGGGGAAGGGGGCGGTGGCGATGGAGGTCAAGTCCTGAGCCGCGTGTGACAGCTCTGGACACGGGCCTCGGGGGAGCCCGCGGATGGGCAGGCATGTCCACGTGTGGAGCGCGACCTGCCGGATCCCTGGGGAGGGGCAGGGAGCCCAGTGTCCCACGGTGCTCTTCCTGGGGGGTGGGGGGGTGGGGGGCTGTTCCTCCTCCGCATCCCTTATAATCCACTGGAATCCTGAGTGCAGCGCTCCCCCGAGGCCCAGGAGTTGCTCCAGAGTATCATCAGACTGGGGAAGGGGCACTGCGGGAAGCCCTGAATCCCCCCAGTACACAGACCACTGGGGGGGGCATCGGAAGCGGGCAGAGCCCCTGGCCTCGTGGCACCTGTGCCCACCCCAGGCAGAGGTCTGGACAGAACCGGACCAGAGGATCCCCGGCTGGTGTCAGGATGCAGGAGGGGAAGTTTCTCGTCCTGCCGGCTGGAACTGAGATGACGTGGGCAAGGGCTCCCAGCTGACACTGCTCTGGCTGACCCACGATCCCACCCCCGGTTCTGGCTCTTTCTCTCCTGGGGCCAAAGGCTGGGAGATGCTCAGGAGAGTGGGTGGCGGGGTGGGAGGGAGCTGGATGAGAAGGGCAGGGTCCTCATCACACCCTAGGCAGGGCTGCGCAGCCCCTGGGGAGGCGGCGGCATCCGAGTCTGGGCGGCCCCGGCCCATCCAGAGCCCAGGGGTCCGGGCAGCAGGCCTACTGCCTCTCCAGCCCAAAGAGGAAGAGAGAGAGAGAAACAGGGGAGGGAAGAGACAGAGGCAGGGCGGCCTAAGAAACCAGGGCCCGGGGGAGGAGCCAGGGCTTCCGCAGATGCCCCCCCGCCCCCTGGGGCTGTGGGGGCTAGTCCTGCCCCCTCCCCCACCCCAGGCCACACCAGCTGCAGGCCCCACGCTCGGCCAGGAAAACACGAGAACAGCAGGCGTCCAGAGCATGCTGTCCACACAGCCCAGTTTCTCCGAGCTCAGGCTAGTCCTCCCAGAGGAAACTTGTTTTTTAGAGGCAACAATTCCCTGCTCTCATTTCCCTTCCAGCCTCAAATGACAAGGTCAGGGACAGAGAGCAGCTGTTCCCCGGCACCTCTCTCTGCACCGGTTTGGACGCTCTTGTCCCACCTCTGCCGGATCCACCAGCTTCTCCCAGAGGAGGCTTTGGCCCCCACGTACCCCACGATCCATGGGGCTTCCAAGGCCTGCCGGAGAAAGCCCAGCTCCTGCAGCATGACGCTGCAGGATTTCTGGTGTCAATAGTCTCATCAAGTGTTTGGGGGGGGGGGTCGGCGGGGAGAGGGCAGCTTGATTTTCCATGTTTCGATTTTGTTTACAGCGGGATGGTTAGCACAAGAGGCAACGGTGAAGGCCCATCCCACTCGTTTGTGGCTGCAAGATTTCAAGGTCTCACACGGCTCCATCTAATCAGGGCTCTGATCTCTTCTCAGCCTTTGTCTTAATGAGTAAGAGAATAGGGAGCTAAGAATCTGGACGACAGAGACATCCCCTTAAAGGCTGAGCCCGGAGACTCCCTGCTGCACGCACCTCTGTCCCCAGCCCCCACCGAGAGGGGCCTGGCCCCCAGTGCCCTCCTGGGAGCTGACAGTACTCGATGGATCGTTTGAGTGTCTGGCAGTATCTGTTTATGCCTCTTATTTATTCAGCCTACTGGGCAACAGCACATTCATAAGGGGTGGACCCCAGGGATGGAGGGGAAGGTCCAGGTCTAGTCAGCTTCACTCCTTGGCAACTTTCACCCTAAAGGGACTTAACGGCAGAAGAGAGTCAAGTATGATGAACATGGAGTTTGGAACAATTCTAACTTTCCAATCACTCATGCCACACTTGTCCTCCACAGCTGTGGAGAATTAAATTCTGGTTTCATTTAAAAAAACCCTGGACAAGCCTCTACCTCTTGACCGAGACATCTGGGAGCCAAGCTGCTGGCCCTAAAATTTGAATTTAAGGTCAAAACGACAAAATCCCCAATGCCTTTTAAAAGGTTAGTCGCTTAGCTGTGTCCATCGCTTTGCAACCCCTGTGGACTGTAGCCTACCAGGCTCCTCTGTCCATGGAATTTTCCAGGCAAGAATACTGGAGTGGGTTGCCGTGCCCTTCTCCAGGGGAACCTTCCTGATCCAGGGATCGAACCCAGGCCTCCTGCATTGGCAGCAGATTCCTTACTGTCTTAGCCACCAGGGTAGCTCCATGCCTTTGAAGAACTGGAAACAGCCAGGTCACAGCCCTGACCCTCATCCATCCTGCCCAAGCATCGCGTGTCCGTAGTGGATGAGCCCACTCAGCTGGCATGCCCACCCATGGAAGCAGACAAGGAACTAGAGGGGACACCTGCCAAGAACTAAAAGGCTGAGCAAACACTTATCTGTGAGGAGGAGCGCTCCTAGTCCGTGGGCCGAAATTCCCTGAAATCTACAGCGAAAGATGGCATAGTTATAATAAAGTAGCCGCATCGCTGCTTTGCAAGGGATGAGTTCTACTTTTCTTCAGCTGGAAGCATACGGAATGGTCCCAATTGGAACGTTCAAGGGTTAGAAGATACGAACTAGCAATAAGGTGGTCAACAGTATATTTACACGTACCAGAGCCACCTTTTCTCCTAGGACCCCTACAGATACATGTTTGGGTGGGCTGGAAAAAGATGGAAAGGAGAATCTGAGAGATGCTCACAGGTAGCATCTGAATCAATGAAGAGCTCATTTTAAAGAGAGGGAGGGTCTTGGGACCTTACTGGTTCATGGCAGTCAGCATGGCTGAGTGATGGCACCACGAACACTAAGGATGAAGGGGACCCAAAGTTAGCTAATCCAATCTGACATAATTGTTCCAAGTGGCAGAAAATGCTTTAAAACCATCTGCCAAAACATAGAGCAAGTCTCACTCGTGGTGTTGGCAGCCAGCTGGTAGACATGGCAGAAAACCTCAGACTCACCAGCTGAACTGAAACTGCATTAACTATCCCCGCTCCAAAGATGTCTTGGAAAGATCTTGAAAAATGAGCTAGAACAGAACCTAGAATCTCCACACGGAACCATAGCTCAAGGTCGTCTGTTCACAACTCGTAATGGGTCGGTTAGGTGTCAGCTACCCCTGGAGACAAAATCATGGACCCCGAGAGAAAGATACTGTGAAAGAAGGTGGGCGGCAGCAGGCAGAATGAGACCATCTAGTGAGCTCCGGGAACCGTGGGCAGGGTGGGCGCCACAGGGTCAGTGGCTGCGTCACTAGCTTCCCCAGTGGACTTGCACCAGGACTAGTAAAGTGTGTCTGAACGATGAACGACGTGGTCCAGACCACACGCAAGCCCACTGGGGAAGTGCAACACAGCTCTCACCCCTTGTTCACTCAGAGCAAACGAGGGTGAGAAGCCCATCCAGGAAGACTCGGGTCCAAACCCACTGTTTCAGTGCACGTGTTTGGAAAGTCCACCAGCAGCCACGGAGAGATGTGACAGCAGATCCGGGGGAGGACGGGGAGAGGTGGCCGGGCTCTTGGCCTTTCCCTTGCTGAGGACTGGTCCTGCCGTCTCTAGCATTGGCAGCGCAGTTGCAAACACAGACGCATATTTCCCTGCCACGTTTCACCTGGATGACAGACAGCTGGAGGACAAACGCTCGCTCCTCTGCCCAGTGGCAGGACGGCATCTGGTGGGCTACTGCTGCTGGTCGTTTCAGTGGAGAAATGTTCATTCCCCAGGAGCAGCCCGTGGAAGACGAGCACAGCAGGGGCCAACACTCTCTTCCTTCAACCTCCAGAAAGACCCTCAAGGAGTCCTGCCTGGACTCACAGTCACACGCGACCACAGCTGTTTGTCTCAGCAGCATCTACAAAGTTCATGAAGACCCAGCAGCAATTTGGCCCCACAACAGCCCAGAAAGAAAGCAGGAACCAGCTGGTCCGTCCCCCTGGGGAGCAGATCCTTATCTTTCTGGAAATCCTTTCTCCAAGAGCAAGTGCCTCTGCACATCCATCCCCATTAACGCCAAGAATAAGTAAGGAGGAAAGAACCAAAGAGAGAAAGCCTGCAGGGGACTTCCTTGGTGGTCCAGTAGTTAAGAACCCTCTTTGCAATGTAGGGGACGCAGCTTTGATCCCTGGATGGACAACTAAGCCCGTGAGCCACAACGAAGATCCTACATGCTGCAACTAAGACCTGACTCAGCCAAAAAATAAAGAAATACATTAAAAAAAAAAATGTAAAGCAATACTTCAGTGGGTCTAACCTGGATCATTAATTGGACCATCCTGAGAGGGTCTTTGAAGATAGTGGGGGGAGAGAGGACCCTCCAGAGTAAGGGGTTTAAACCCCCTTCTGCGAGGGCAGAGGCATTTGTTAGGAACTCTGCCTTCTTACCCCTGAAAAGAACAAAGCCCATTCCAGAGTATAGGGTTGGGAGGTGGGGGGTAGGAAGACTCAGAAAAAGCAGATATACTTGCCTCTTCTTACAAATCAGTCCACCTTTAATACTCATATTTAATTTAAACTCACCAAACTGGAAACAAAAAGGGACTAAAAGGGACTTGGAAAAGAATAATTCAGTGATGCCACGGAAACCCAAATCAGAGATGACATGTTTTCTCAATTAGAAAAGAAACTGTGTGTGTGTAGTGGCGGGGGAGGGGAGGTGGAATAAATCGAGTGAAATTTTCATTAAAAAAAAAAGCAATCAGCATCCCCAGAGCTGCCTTCATGTCTGAGGTCCCAGCACCAAACTGACCGCAGCTCATTAATGAATGGATGCCATTGGCGGGCTGCACCACCATGCCCCAAGGAGAAGCCTGGGATGATTGCTGTTCAGAAGGCTTCCTCCAAAGCGCATACAGGAAAGTCATCACCACTTCTTTTTCTTTAAACGCTAGCCCTGACTGTTTCTAGTGGTAAACACAGGAACACCCATGCTGGGCGAAGCTTCCAAGAAACACCAGGAGGAAAAGCGGCAAAATGTCACAGCACTCTGGGTGGTGCACCTTCTGGTTCCACATCCAAGTTACTGGTAACAGAAACGGCTGAGGCAGAACCCAGAATGAAGACACTGCTTCCCACAAGAAAACTGGGTGCTTTGGAAAGTTCCACAAACTCTTTCCAGCTGCAGAAGATGACATTGTTTTAGAGTCACCTGGAAGAGTTAATGCATCTTCCTGGCGTATTTTACATCCCTTCCAAGGAGCCTGACATACCTGCTAAGAACTTCCTATGGCTGGAGGCACCTCATCTTTGAGCCGGAGTGATGCTTCTCATTCAATCCCAGCAAAGCCACCAAGAATCAACCACTCCCACTTAACCGCTGGGTAACCCAAAGCTGAACTGGATTAGGTTCGTCCTGAGTCACAAAGTAGGGCTTCCCAGGTGGTGTTAGTGTTAAAGAACCCGCCTGCCAATGCAGGAAGCAAGAGAGATGCAGGTTCAGCCCCTGGGTTGGGAAGATTTCCCTGGAGAGGGGCACGGCAACGCACTCCAGTATTCTTGCCTGGAGAATCCCACAGACAGAGGAGCCTGGCAAGCTAGTCCATAGGGTTGAAAAGAGTCGGACAGGACTTAGCACACACACACGCAAAGTTACAGAGCACTTATGAGGAAAGCAAGATCTCTGACTGCAAATCCCACAGTGAATCCTCAACTTCGCGCCTGATTTCTGGGCTAGTTAAAGGGAAAGGAAACCCAGAACCTGCAAGCACCCACTTTAGAGCAAGATGCACCTTGCTCTGAATTCAACACTGACCAGCTCTGTGCTGCATATCAGCGCCTGCAGGCCCTCCTCCTGTTCTGAAGACTGGACTTCTGCGTCTCCCCCGAGGCTCTGCATGGGAGGGAGGCTGTCTGCAGGACTGCTGAACTGACACTCCCGCAGTGAGGGCTGTTTCCTCTCTCTTGCCCTTTGAACCTGCCCGTTAAGGGCAGGCAGGGGCCACACCCCAGCCCCTAGCTCCAGGGCTGAGCGCCGACCCCAGACCAGCTGTCTACTGAAGCTACCACAGAAGAGGCGCTCTCGTCCTGAAGCTGGGGTTGCCTTCCTGGGCACATGTCGAGCTAGGCTTTCTGAGAATGCCACCAACAAAGGAACACAGCAAAAGGGATTCCGACTATCTGCTGAGCCCGTGGGTCTCACCACATCTCAAGGCAGAACCCCGAACTTCCCAGGTGAATGAAAAGCAATGAAACCCATCAGAGAGGGCTGCCAGAGCTGACTTGCCATCACTCCCAGCCAAGAGCACTGACAAACACAAGCCCGCCTTCCACAAATGCATGAAATCTGTACATCACCACCTCCCGGCATGATGGATGCAGAGATGGAGGCATTCCCAGGATCTTCGTGGGAAAGAAGAGCTGGGAGAAATCTGCCCAGATAGAAGGACGCTTTTCTGGAACAACAGACACTGAGGCTGTCTCAACCTGCAGGCGATCTTGGGGTCACAAGGGCTCCCCTCTGATGGCCTAGGGGCCCGTCCAGATAATCAGGGGCTGACCGGCACCTACGGCTTCGCGTGGGCCTGCAGAAGCTGGGCAGCATCTGCAACCCTCTGCAGGTCCTGTGTCCTCACGGACGCCCCGGGGCCCACAGGCGTGCTGGAAAGACGGCGTCCCTGACCCACCTGAGGCGCTGGAGGCCCGCGACACGTCCTGGGCCGGGGTGGAGCGGTTCCGGGCCTGCTGCCGGCGCCGCCCGGGGGCCGAGCGGGCGCTGCGCACGTGGGCCTCGCTGGCCTTGAAGAAGGCCACCATGAAGGGCTGCTTGTCGTAGGGGCCGTCCCTGCCCACCAGGCCCGCAGCCCCGGGGCTGATGCTGAGCCCTGCAAGGCAAACCGAAGCACACCTCTGGGATGTGGTGCCGAAGCCTGGCATCCACCCGCAGCGGCACAGCCGAGCCTCCCCGGCGCCCTCAGACAGGAGGAGCCGGCCTGAGGGCGGACACGGGGTACCCTGAGCCTCCCCGCTTCCTGCCGGGGTCCCGGGAGACAGGGCAAGGGCTGGCGGGACCCCCAGTTCCCCTGCTTCTGCTGCTGTCCTCCGTTCATGCCCACCTTACTGATCTCATGTCTCCCACCCAGGAAGGTGACGTCATGGGCTGACTGGGTCCAGCCTGAGGGGATTCTGATGCCGCAGCAGGGTGTGCGGGAAGGGCCCCCACAAACCTACTCAACGTCAGCACCTAGACCTCGCCCCGGCCTTCCTCTTTAACTCAGCACCCCCGTGCAGCCCCTCTCTGAGGCTCCCGGACCGTCTAACCGTCCCCAAGTCCTTGCCAGGAGGCCCCGGGGCAGGGCTCTGCTTGTCCACCAAGGCTCCAGGAGGTCAGGAAACGGGGGGCCCGCCTAGGGACCATGGCTGCCCACACCGCCACCAAGGAGGCAAAGGCCCGAGTCCGCGAACTCACCGTCACGCGTGACCACGCTCAGCTGCAGCCCCATGTTGTGCTGCGGGGTCAGGACCCACAGGTTGCTGGTGGCCGTGATGTCGAACTCCAGCCAGCCCGCCTCTGAGGCCCACACGGCGCGCGTGCCCAGCAGAAACAGGTCGGAGTCTCTGGAAGAGAGAGGAGACAGTGCGTGAGGGTGACGGCCCCGGCTCCCGTGGTCCCGCCCGGCGTCAGAATGCAGGCAGGACGACGGCCCGCGCCCGCCCATCACACAGGACACGCGCCCGGTGCCATCTGGGGGGAGTACGCGTGTGCTGGGGGGCCACACACTTCCTCCCGACACCCGAGGGCCCCCTGCGTCACAGAGGTTTTTAGATTTAAGACAAAAAAATAAATAAGTAAACAGGCTTGTGGTTGTTCACTTTATGGCTAATGAACTCTAAAAGGAAAATGGAAGAAAAAAAATTTTAAATAAGAAAATGGAGGGGGGAGCTGTGAAGAAAAGGATGAAGAAGACACTAAAATCAGGATTAGTAAAGATGAGCACTTACTAAATTTTGCTTTATTTTTTTTTTTTAAATGAGGGCCGACAATCCTCACATGCTTTTAGCTCCTGGGAAGGGGAAACCAGGGTTCACATGCTATTTCTGAGTATCAATACCTTTCTTTTAATCACGCCTTTGCACACAGCCTGCGGTAAGGGCAGAGTCCTTGCTTGTGTGGCCCGCAGACTGGAAGTTGGTGTCAGCCCTGCCGTGAGCCGCCTGGGCTCCTGTGAAGCAAACTCCCCAAGAGATTCCTTCCACTGGACTCCACAGGGCTGCTCTTATATTTACATACACTTTTTTTTTTTTTTTTTTTACAGTTTCCAGCTAACGTAACCCTAGGGATCATGGACAGACAGGGTGAGGGACCCATACGCTGACAAGGCGGCGTGAGGGATGGTCACCGGGGGGTATCGCAAGGACACCCATCTGAGTCGATGTCCCGGGGTCACGGGCGCAGAGGGGCCTGGAGTTCCTGTGACAGGGAGGGGCAGGTTTCTGCCCTCCCCGGAAAGACGCAGGCCCCCTGGTGCTGGAAACATTCTGCATGGAGAGCTTACCAGGCAGAAACATGACTAGAATTCAGTACTAAACTTAAAATGAGCATCATAATACGAACAGCATACATTTAAGTCAGTTACAAAGTGCCTGCACCTGCTTGGCTTGGGCCATCCTGCAAAGTAGGCAGAGTATCATTACCCCCATTTTACAGCTGAGGAAACCGTGACTCGATGTGAGTTCATAGGCACGTCATGGTCAAGGCCAGAAGCTAGTGGATTCCAAGTTTTCCACAATGGCCTTCCCGCCTTTTGAGATCATGATGAAAGGCAACCTGCGACAAAGGAATAAAATGGATCTCTAGTCCATCCAGTGGTCTGGAGGCCAGCGAAACATCTGCATGAAAAGTCTTAGACTTCTCAGAGGGGAAACAATTCTTCCTGCTTACATGGCTCAGAGCTGGAAGGCAACGCTATTGTCATCTTTTCCAAGCTCGGAGCAGTAGGTGTGGCTATGCAGCGTTTACTCAGCTGTTGGACAGGGTCTACGGGGGGCGCGCCCAGCCTGCCATCTATAAAGCCCCCCCCTCAACACGTGTGTCACACCCCCTGCTGACAAATTACCCCCTACCCCCGTCACTGAGATGACTGTGGGCAGGCAGATGGGGGGTGTTCGTGGAAAACAGCAAGAGGGGACACAAGTCCAAAGCTTTGAAGTGAAGATGTGAAGACATCAGCTCTGTTCTGGAAGGTAGGAAAGGACTCTCATCCAGAAATAACACAGAACCAGGAGGAGCAATGTGGGGACAGTCTGGTCCTGGAGGAAGCACCAGACACATTCTTATCAGGGGAGCAGCTTCCAGAATGAGGACATGGTGGGGATGTCAGCGTGAGGACTGCCCCGAGGGTCAACAGGGCCCATGGGGGGCTATGGCTGAGGGGCACTGGTCACTAGAGCTTCAGTGGGGGCAACTGGCACATGTTCTTAGGACTTGTAACAAGGATGAAAGATATACAGCCCAAGATATAAGCATAACATGACTGGTAGAAAGAGCTCAGTTCAGTTCAGTTGCTCAGTCGTGTCCAACTCTTTGCAACCCCATGAATCACAGCACGCCAGGCCTCCCTGTCCATCACCAACTCCCAGAGTTTACCCAAACTCATCTCCATTGAGTCGGTGATGCCATCCAACCATCTCATCCTCTGTTTTCCCCTTCTCCTCCCACCTTCAATCTTTCCCAGCATCAGGGGCTTTTCCAATGAGTCAGCTCTTCACATCAGGTGGCCAAAGTATTGGAGCTTCAACATCAGTCCTTCCAATGAACACCCAGGACTGATCTCCTTTAGGATGGACTGGTTGGATCTCCTTGCAGTCCAAGGGACTCTCAAGAGTCTTCTCCAACACCACAGTTCAAAAGCATCAATTCTTCAGCACTCAGTTTTCTTTATAGCCCAACTCTCACATCCATACATGACCACTGGAAAAACAATAGTCTTGACCAGATGGACCTTTGTTGGCATAGTAATGTCTCTGCTTTTTAATAAGCTGTCTAGGTTGAGCTAGAATGAGCTTTTATATTTCAAAAATAGGGTTCATGACAAAGGCATGGGGGAGTCTGTCCGCTGAGAAAGTGGGGGATGGGACAGAAGGCCATCACCCACTAACGGGGCAGAGACAGCAGAGAGCAGGAAAAAGAGGGGGCGGCTATGGTGTAAAGAGGGCAGAGGTGGCACGCGAAACCACGGCGGGGAGAAATGAAGTCCGCGGGGTGCGTGGGGCTTGCTGGACACGGGAGCCTGCCTTCTGACCCGATGCTGCTCCAGAGTCACCCGGGGGCGCCCCCACACCCCCCGCCCAGGACCTGGCAGTGCCTCAGGGCCGTGCCTCGCTGCCTGTCTGGTGAGGACAAGGCAGATCCTCACCTATCAGGAGACCAGGGGGTCCACACACGTGGGGGCTGCCGCCGAGCTCCGGGGCTCAGGGCACTGAGGCCAAATCAAAGACAGCCACTCAAACGAGGGTGCTCAGGTCCCTGCGAGCAGGGGTGATGGAGAGCAGGGGCTTACAGTAACCTGACTCGGGGCCTCCCCGGCAGTCCAGGGGTTAAGACTTCAGCTTCCAGTGCAGGGGCTGTGGGTTCGAACCCTGGTTGGGGAGCTGAGACCCCACAGGCCTCGTGGCCAAAAAACCAAAACATAAAACAGAAACAAATTCAATACAAACTTTAAAAACTTGGTTCACATAAAAAAAATGATAATAATAACTGGGTTCTCGGGCTGGCGGAGCAGCAAATACCTCCTGAGCTCCCAGCGCTCAGGCGCCGGCCGAGCGCGCCCGCCGCCCCTCGGAGGACGGGGAGGCCGGTCCCGTGACGGCTCCCCTCCAGAGCTGGCGGCATGCAGCCCACAGAGGGGGGGTGTGTGACGGCCACACAGGGGTTCAGGGAAGTGACCAGAGCTTGAAACCGGAGCCCCGGCTCTCAGCCACCATGCATGCAAAAAGCAGGATCAAGAAAAGCAAAGGACAAGTGCCGCGTGATGCTGCTTATCTGTGGAATCTTAAAAACATGATATAAAAGAACTTAATTACAAAACAAGAAACACTCACAGAGAATGATCTTATGGTTACTAGAGGGAAAAGCGGGGGAGGGGTACATTGGGAACTGGGGATTGACGGATATACATGACTGTCCATAAAATAAACAAGGCCCTACTGTATAACACAGGGAACTATATTCACCTATCATGTAATAACCTATCGTGGAAAAGAATCTGAAAAGAATATATATATATATATATATATATATATATATATATATATAAAAGAAACACTTTGCCATACATCTGAAACTAACACAATATTATAACTCAACTCAAATAAAAATTCCCAGCAAGGGCTTGGAATAAAGTCAGAGATCCAAACCCACCGCCCACCAGTGTCAGTGGAGGCTGGCTACAGAAGTCCGGTTTCAGATGCTCGGGGCTGGCAGAGGAGAGCAGTCAGGGCTGACCCCTCATCTCAGGGCAGAAGGGGAAGGTTGAGATGCCTCACGCCCGCGGCTCGGGTGCCAGCAGCCTCCCCGGCTTCTCCCTTCTCCTCCTCAGCACAGCGCCCTCCGTCTAGACCACAACCATCACTGATACACACCCAGGAAGGGAGAGGACCTTTCACAAGAATGGCAGCGCTGAGGGGGGACCCCACCGGGCCAACGCTGCCCGTGACTCAGGTGTGTGAGAGACACTATTTACGGCAAGTCACTAAAGTGGGCCTGCTTGCCCACAGCTGTTTACCTTTCTTCAATGACACATGACCTTCTCCGTCTCTGGACTCTGTCCAAGGGTCACCTCAAACATGATGCACCCAGTTTTGTGACATGAACAGCAGGGGTTCCCTTGTAAACCACTCCAGTGGCGTCGAGGTCTTCTTTATGCCAGAAGTGCATAAAGTGCAATTTTCAAACAGAAAGTCAAAAATCATCTTAGCAGATGAGAGAGGAAGGCAAGGGTTTTTACTGTTTTCTTATGTAACATATTGAATATACAGGATCACATCCAAACTTTTACCAACTAGAAAGATAGAAAGGAAACAATATTTGAAAACAGAGTCCTAGAAATCAGAGTAAACTGCTACACACTGATTCAAGTAACAAGGCTGAATGAACATTACTCTATACGTTATATATCACATAGATAATAATATTCATTCACCCTTGTTACTTGAATTATATACATTATGGATTACAGGGATTCCCTAGTAATTATTATTCCCAGACAATAAAGAATCTGCCTGCAATGCAGGAGACCTGGGTTCAATCCCTGGGTCAGGAAGATCCTCTGGAGAAGGGAATGGCAACCCACTCCAGGATTCTTGCTTGAGAAATCCCATGGACAGAGGAGCCTGATGGGTTACAGTCCATGGGGTCACAAAGAATCAGACATGACTGAGCAACTAATACTTTCTTTCATATTATGTATACAATATTATATATACTACATACTGTATTAGTGAAAGTCACACAGTTGTGTCTGACTCTCTGCAGTCCTGTGGACTGTAGCCTGCCAGGCTCCTCTGTCCATGAGATTCTCCAGGCAAGAATACTGGAGTGGGTTGCCATTCCCTTCTCC